GCTCTAAGCCCTTTTCCTCTTTTATATAGTGACTTTAATAAAAGAGGCTTACGGTGGAGGGATGTGCTCCAGGTTGGGGTCACAGATCATGGCTTAATTCTCATGGCTCAGCAGGGTGTCCCCTTATCCAGTGTGAGCTAGGCTCTTACCCAACTCCACGTCCTATCCTTACTCTCTCTAAGGGGAACCATATTGCTTTTCCTTTGGTCACTACTGTGACCCTGGCTTCCAGAACTGTGCTCTGCACACACTGTAGGTACTCAATAAATCTGCCTTGAGACAAGAGTCCACTTCAGGCTGCTGACACAGATTGCTGGCTAAGCAAGGTAAGAGACAGGTGCTGTCCAACAGCAGTGCCTAGAAAGTGATGTCTGTGAGACAGGCTGGCTTCCTCAAGACACCCAGCTACTGACTGTCTTTTCTGGTAGATGCTTCTCCAGTCACAAGGGAAAAAACAGCTAGTATAGGGACAAATTGTTTGCTTCTTTGTTTGAGAAGGGTCCCAGTGCACTCTGGTCACCACTCTGCACTCTTGATCCTCCTTCATCCACTAAGCCCAGATGCCACAATTGGTTAACTGTACATACATTGTGTCTGCTCCCAGAGATAGCTCAAAATATTATAACACACTTAAATGAGGCTTGGGGTTTCTAAGTGATTTGCCCAATCACCTAGCCAATAGATAGCAGAGCTATGGACTTTAGTATGTGTTGCTAGGGTTTTAAGGGGAAGCTTTGAGACCAGATGTAACCCAGATATCTCAACAGAAATGAGATCTATGGTTAGATAGATGTCCAGATTTTTTGCTTCTGTTGCTCTCCTTGTGGAACCCCTGTCACCTCTGTCAGGTCTTTCTATCTCCCCCTTCTTCGATAAGATTCCCTGCACTCTGCCCAAAGTTTAGCTATGAGTCTCAGCATCTGCTTTGATACCCTGCTGGGTAGAGTCTTTCGGAGGCCCTCTGTAGTAGGATCCTGTCCTGTTCCTTGTTTTCTCCCTCTTCCAATGTTTATCCCGTTTGCCTTTCTGAGTGAGGATTGAGCATCTTACCCAGGGTCCTCCTTCTTGTTTAGCTTCTTTAGGTGTACAGATTTTAGTATGTTTATCCTATATTATATGTCTAATATCCACTTATAATTAAGTATATACCATGTTTATCTTTCTGCTTCTGGGATACCTCATTCAGGATGATCTTTTCCAGTTCCCAGCATGTGCCTGCAAATTTCATGACTTCCTCATTTTTAATTGCTCTGAAACTGATACTCCAACCAAGGGCCATGCATGGAGATAACCTAGAACCCCTGCATAGATGTAGCCCATGGCAGCTCAGTCTCTAAGTGGGTTCTCTAGTAATGGGAACAGGGACTGTCTCTGACATGAACTCAGTGGCTGGCTCTTTGATCACCTTCCTCTGATGGGAAGAATAGCCTTACCAGGCCACAGAGGAAGACAATGCAGCCAGTCCTGATGAGACCTGATAGGCTAGGGTCAGAGGGAAAGGGAGGAGGACATCCCCTATCAGTGGACTTGGGGAGGGACAAGGGAGGAGATTAGGGAGGAAGGGTGGGATAAGGGAGGGGGCTACAGCTAGGATACAAAATGAATAAACTGTAATTTATTTAAAAAATAAATAAATTTTAAAAAGATGTAATATATGAGAGAATAATTTAATTTAAAATTGAAAAAAAAAAGAATTGTAGAGATGCCTAAGGATCCATATGCCTGCCCAGCTGGAACCGTTCTGGCTAGATCCTGTAGCATGTGGACACTCCTACTCATTCATTCAACATTTTCTGGTTTCTTGCCTGGTGTTACCCTTCTCTAAGTGGCAGAGACACAGCTATGCACAAAACAGATAAAAATCCCTCCTCCCCACTGGAATTTGTATTCTAGTGGGACATCATACATAAACATAGTAAGCACAACTTCTAGTATATTGGAGTGAGGTGTGCTCTTTGTAAGTGGGAAGAGTAAAATGGCACACTGGTAAAACGGTAAATCGGTGAAAGAGACTGCAGTGCACTAGGATGTGCACTAGGACACTGTTTGCTGTGGCAGTGCCTGGGGTGGGAGTCACAGCTCTAGGGTACCAGACAGTGCTGTGATGGGAGCCACGATCTTTGGTGTACTGGGCAGGGCTGAAATGGAAGCCGTAATTGTTTGTGTAGTAGGTGAGTTCCCTGCCACTGAGCTATAAACCCCCCCCCCCCACTCCCAGTCCCTTCATTTGAACAGAGGGGAAGGACTGAGGACCATGCCATGGCTAACAAAGTCTTGTACGAGGAAAGAACATCTATAGTGAGAATTTGGGTTTCTATAAAAACACAGAAATGTTATGTGAATACATTTTTGTTTTGATCCCATGTGTGGGGTTGTAGGGCTGCTTCAGATTGTCCACAGCAGCTGACCACCAGGATTTGTCTTGTGCTCTGGCAGAGGCATGATTTTGCCAGATGCAGATAGTTTACATTTGGAATTCTAGGGACTCTTCAGGGGGTATATAAAAGCCAGAGCCCCAGAGGGTGCGGTGCTGCCGCTCCCCGCTGCTGCTGCTCCTGCCACTCCTATTGTCTCTGGTTGCTGATGGTTCTAGTTGGTTGGGTCATGTACAAAGAGACCAGTAGAAAAAAACTGGAGAACTCAAAGCCCCTAATCAGCAGGAGGTAGTCTAATGCTATCGACACCCCCTTTCCTCTTTATCCTTCTTTCTCTCCTACTTAGTGTTGAGGGGGCTGGAAGGGATAGGTGTAGGAAGATAGATAAAAGAACACAATAAAGTAGCCAAGAGTCTGGTTACCAAAAGCCAGTGGAGACTTTCTGCATTCTTGAGCATCTTCAGGAACAGAACAAGATGGAACAAGAGGTAAAGAGACAGGCAGAACCCACAGGCCTTGTCTGTCTTGCAGGAGTTTCATTTCAAGACATTCACCCCTGGGCACTGTGTTGCACATCTGCAATCCCCAAGCTCAGGTCACAAGTTTGAAGCAAGCCTTGAGGCCACATAATGACAGTCTTAAAAAAAAAAAAAAAAAAAAGCCAAAGCAATACTGTTCAAGTTAGCAGAAAATTTTGTTCACTACCCAACAATATGAAGTCAGTTAAATAATTCATAGTATATCAAATATAACAAATAACATATTCTAATACCCTTCAAAACATTATGCTGCAAGACCCTCTATATTCTTAAAAATAGAGGGTCCTCAAGAACTTTTATTAATCTAGTTTACATCTATCAATATTTACCATTTTAAAAATTAAAGTGGGAACTCTCAACTTTGATAAAATGTTCTAAATTTTTTGAGAATTTCACGTGTGTTAAATTTTCACCCCCTCCCCACCGTACTACCAACTCCCCCTGTGTTATCTCCCACTATCAAATTCATGACCTCTTCTTTAATTAGTTATATACATATATGCACATACATGTAAACAGACATATGTAAACATATGCAAATGTATGCACATATGTAAATGCATATATATATATATATATATATATATATATATATATATATATATATATATATCCACACCTGGGATTAAAACAAAAATGTATTCACATTACATTTCTGTGTTTTTATAGAAACCCAAATTCTCATTTCTCTTACAGATATATATATATATATATATATATAGAGAGAGAGAGAGAGAGAGAGAGAGGGGACCTCTCTGCAGCCATTGATAACCTATAGTTCTTCTTCTAGGATTAGAGCCCTGTGAGATTTCTTCCATCAGTGTTGGCATGTCAGTTGATGATGTCATCATGCTGGTCTTGCCTAGGTGACTGTGTCATTGAAATTTCATGGGTGTACCTTCCATGTCTTATATAGAAGTCACTATCTCACAGCAGAAGTCCTGGCTCTCTGGCTCTTACAGTCTTTCTATCCTCTCATGCACAATGTTCCTTGAGCCTTACATGTAGGAGTTGTATTGTAGCTGCTTTGATTGGTGTTGAGCAGCCCATGGTCAGTTCTCTGCATTTTGACTAGTTGGGGACTTCCGTAATAGTCTCTGTCTACTGCAAAAAAAAAAAAAAAAAGACACTTTGTTGAAAAGGGGTGAGAGCTGCACTTCCGTGACTATCAGGATAAGGGCTTAGAGTGAAATTAGAAATTATACTGGTTTAGGAAAGTAGCAGTAATAGGTTCCATGAACCCATCAGCATGGGGGGGGGGGCTAGGTTTACAGTATCAGAGATGAATCCCCTCTGACTAAGTGGGCTGTCAGCCCAATGAGACAGCTGTCGGTTACCTCGCAGATATGTGTTACTAACCTTGAGGAGATTAGAGCTTCTCTTTCTTGACAGTTTGCATAGCGCCTTCCAGCATGATGAGCGCTAGTCCTCAGGGAGGAGCTCCCAATCAGTTCCGGGGGGGGGGGGGGGGGGGGGGTCTCAAAATCCTGTGCCTGAAGTGTGAGGTGTTTGTAGCAGCAGGGTCTTACCTTCAAATTCTCAGAGGTAACAAAGGGTGATGGCAATGGCCTATGTTGTTTGGTGAGTCTCTTGGACTTCCTTGACCAACAGACAACTTAAAAGGTTTCTCATGCTTAGCACTGGGAATTTTGTTAGTAGTCTTATTGTTCCTGAGGGGAGTACTGTCACACACGCACACAGGGAGAAAGACAGACAGACAGAGAAAACAGCCTGCTCTACACAGTGAGCTCCAAGTCAAACAAGGTTACAGTTAGACCCTGTCTGAAGAAATCAAACCAAACTAAGCCAACTTATATAAAGATATGTATTTTTAAGTAAACACAAAGACATAAATAATTTTTCCCTATGGCTTTCAAACCTCTTTATGTTGTCTCTCCCCCTTTTTTCCCCTCTGCAGGTAAAGTCCCTGCCTTGCTTTGTCACTCCCTTCATAGCACCTGTGTCATTTACCCCCACCCCCGCAGCTCCTTCTTCAAGGCCCCCATGGTCGCTTATTACATTCATGGGTTCTGCAGTTACTCAGCATAGGTGCGGTTATGCAGAAATACACTCAGCTCTGAGACTTTTTCCAAAGATTTATTGATTCACTTCAAAACAGCCATAGCAAATCAGTTGCATTTTAGCACAAATATTGTTTGTTTTTAAAAAAATATATTTTCATTAAAAAAAATTCACAAGGATGGTCCTGTTTCATTTCTGTAAACATTCTCATTGAGTAGATGAGTTTAAGGGAAGAGCCTGGAGTCCGGTTGTCTGCATTCAGTCTACTTGGACACACTATTTTGCCTGAGGTATACTAGGAAAACCCAAGTTCATACAAATATATAGTTGGAGAAGACAGGAATATTTTAATATCTTTTCAAATAATGGTAGAGAATCTTCTTTGAAGCTATACCAAAACAGTAGCTGTTTTTTAATGATTATTTTCAGTGTGTCGTCTGAAACGACAGTCTCCAGCTCTTCATTCTTGGCTAACATTAAGATTTACTGGTCCCTCTTCTGCTTCAAGCAGGCCTTTTAAACAGCGTTATCTCCATGTTACATCATGTCTTAGCTGCCCTTAAAGACTAATTTCTTGGGCTCATTAGATGTTCTAGATACAGATAAAACTTTGGATAGTATCAAAAATAATATGTTTCTTTTATCCACCTCATTACAAAAGTCTTCAGGTCAAGGAAAAGCTGCCCAGGTTCCCCACCAAGGATATAAGCTCACCAAAACTGTAAGCTTTGCTAGAAATTTCAACTTTACTACTGGCAATAAATATTGGTAAATCATTTCCCTTAAAACAATAAGCTAACTTCATTCAGTCTTAAGAACAATGTCTGCCAAATAGCCAGTCTAACGAACCAAGCATAATTTTTGCCAGCAAATTTTTGTTTTTCAATTCCATTAAAAAATTCCTCCAATTCAACTTATAATTAGGCAGGTGTTTCCCTACAGATGGCTACCACATCCAGAACTCAGCTCAGAGCAGCTTAAGCATCCTGACACTCTGTCATTGAGAATACCGACTCAAGCACTACAGAAACACATGTCAAGGCACAGAAAGACAGAAATAACTACCAAATGTGTGTGACACGTACTTAATGGGAGCTACCTTCTGGTTATAGGAAGCAGAAAAATGAGAACACAGGGATTTTTATGTTTTAAGTATAGTTTGAATGTTTTACAATAAGATTCATTCATGTATTATGGATGTAACAAATTAAGAAAATGAATATGAGAAAGTCTGACAGATCCCAAAAATGACTTTGATTATCTCCTAATGGAATCCCAGGGTTCCATTTTTTAAGCTGCTCTGAATTCACACATGTATTTCTTCTGTATTAATAACAGTCCATTTCTATTTACAAAAAAAAGTCAGTCAAAGGCTTGAAAAGTACTTATAAGCTATATGGTGAACTGCCTAAAGTTATATTACAAAAGTTTACCAAGAACAGAGTTAAGTTTTATGTTTTTAAGTTCTTTGTGAAACATAAGACATTAAATCTTGGCATCTTTAAATATTGAAGGTACTCAGTAATTAAATACATAAAAATTAAGTATGTTTAATATTCACTATGGGGGACACTGTTTTATTGAAAAAATAATAGAAACTCCGCAGAAAATGCATAGCATTTAGTTGTCTCTGCAACTGGAAACCTTTCAACATGGTCCCCCTTTTAAATGGAAGCCAGTGTGTCACTGGTCTGCTGCACTGATGCTCTGACACTGCGCCTACAGGCATCGGCATAAGGAAGCAAAGACAATCTGTAAAAGGAGTCTTTTGTCTGAAGTCACAGGACTCCATTTTGTCAATTTCAGACAACTTTGTATCTATCACTATGTAACTACTAACCTATAATCTATGTCACAGAGACAGATCCTACAATTCCCACACGCAGTACTGCCAGAAGTAGAGAGACCGCAACAAGACGCTGGCAAGGGTGAAGGGAAGCTCACCTCGACACTCTGTGTTGCACTCAGGCTCTTAGATGGCTCAGATACTTTATCTCAACTCTGGATGGGTGATTAATGATGCCGGCTGCTCAATGTCTAAGTGAGTTTTTCTTTGAACTTTAAGTAATTTTAAAGTTAAAAATGTTTTTTTCATTCTTTACAGGAATAAAGACAGACACACAAATTGCTCTGTATTTGTCATCTAACTAAAAAGACCTTTCTTTTTTGTCTTGGCCATTGATGAGCTGCCAATATCAGCTGAGGACACACTTCTTTTGGTAAACCATGGGGGCAATTTTCTCTTTGACATTTCAGATGATGTCTATAGAAAACAGAAATACAAAAAAAATATTTATACAATGGAAAAAACATAAGAGCTGTAAAAGCAACATAGATATCTGAATAACTATTCTCCCCAACCAAACAAAATGAAATAGAAACAGCTATAGAATTCATTTTGGGGTGAAAAATCTAATAAATAAAGGAGAAAAAATATTATATAATGTCCTTATTCATTTACTTATCCCATTACCACCCACTTTAAAGATGATTTGTTATTTTTATTATTAGAATGTATGTCTGTGCATGTGTACCTGCGTGTGTGTGTGTGTGTGTGTGTGTGTGTGTGTGTGTGTGTGTGTGTGTACACACTACATATCCTACATCACCCAATGCAATGTGGAGGTTAGAGACATCTTTCAAGGTCTTTTCTATCCTGGCCGGCATGTTAAAGCAGAGGTTCTCTTGTTTTCCATGCTGTGTACTCCAGCCTAGCTACCGTCGAACGTCCAGGCATTCCCCTGTGCCCACCTCCCTATCACTGCAGGAGTGCTGGGATTACAGACGCACACCACTATATTTACCATTTTTCTATGGGCTCCAGGAGTCAAACTCAGCCATCAGCTTTGCACGGCAAAAGCTTTTACCCACTCGGCATCCTGCTGGCTTCTCTGTCAACTTTCAAGATACTCGAGTTCAGGCACTCTTTTTTGTTGTTCTTTTTTGTTTATTGGAGACAGGGTTTCTCTGTGTAGCCTTGGCTGTCCTGGACTCACTTTGTAGACCAGGCTAGCCTCAAACTCACAAAGATTCAGGCACTCATTTACTAAGTAAAAAACTGGACCTTGTTTCCGATCTACTAGTATAATACATTAATGTTGGGTTGACCAAAGTGGTGAATTTAAAGGGCTCAGGACACAGCTAAGTGTTATAACACTCATCTGGCAAGCACAAGGCCCCAAGTCCAAGAGATTTCACAGAAAACAACAGCAAAGAAAACTTTAAAAGTGATGAATGTGATGCTCTGAGGAAGGCATACAAACAAGGACACACAGGGAGTTTTTACTGAGTGCATGAAAAAGAAAACAGATACTGACATCCATGGTGTTAAGGCTAGCAGAGTGACTCAGCTACTGCTCGGCTCCTTGCAGAGTAAGCAACAAGACTGAGTAAGTGAAAAAAAATCTTTGCTGCATAGACTGCTTTGAGAATTCCCTGACAACCATAGATCCCCTTCTCAGAAAAAGAACGAATAAAGACATGCAGAACACTTTGCATGTAATTTTAGGGGCTCATCTGCCAAAATCTTTTGGACCCTGTCAAAAGGCCCTGAAAAAAATTTATTTAATAACATAAAAGGAATGTTTTGTGCTACATCATCTGTGCATAAAAAGCAAATAAACAAACATTACCACTTGAAACAGTAGGTGAGTGTTCTATAAACCTACCATGCTGAGCCACTAGAGTCTTAGAATAAAAGGGCAGAAATCGTACTAATAAGAATACTCCTTGGAATTTAGCCAAGCTAATTTGCTTACTGAAAGCATTTGAAAGCTTTTATAATCAAGTAGCTTTATTTAAGTTAAATGTGCCTGTTAGTTAGCATAAGGTATAGCAATGGTATAACTTATACTATTTCAGAAATATAACTTTAAACGCTTTACCAATTATTTGCTATATTTTATTATGTTCTCTGCTTTAAAAATGTTTCAAAATATTCACAAGTAAGGAAAAAAAGCAAAAGATACTTAGAAAAATGAATTGCACATTGAAATTTCATATTGAACACTGTAATACTGACATTTTATATTTAAGAAAACAAAAGCTGTGTCATGTTCCATATCAAGTAAAGAAATTCAGAGTAAAATGAAGGGGAGGCTGTAACTTTCCCAAAGCTAAGGAAAGGAACTGGCTGGGACAGCACTTTTGCTCCTCGTACCCATTTCCAACCAGAGAAGAACAAACGGGAAGAACAGATGAGATCCATGCACTCTGGAAGACACTGGAGCACTTGACTACAATGAAATATTACATGTTACAAAAAGAAATTTTGATAGTGAAAAATAGTCCAGAGATAGGACAAAGGTTGTGGTTGGCATACAAACGGCTCTAGATTTAATTGCCAAAACCAACACGCACACACACACACACACAGAAAGAGACAGAGGCAGAGAGACACAGAGACAGGGACAGATACATGGAGAAAGGGAACACAAACCAACAGTTGAGGGGTATGGAGACATGGGAATGGGCTGTCTCTATCAATTCCTCCCCTCAGAGTACAGGGAACCCCACAAAAGAGGAGACAGAAAGAATATAAGCCAGAGGGGATCTAGAACTCTAAGAAAACATGACCAAAGCTCGTATGAACTCACAGAGACTGAGGCAGCATGCACAGGGCCTGCAGGGGGCTGAACTAGGTCCTCTGGGTATATATTATCACTTCTAGTTTAGTGTTTTTACAGGACTCCTAAGTGTGCAAACCAGTAGATCTCTGATTCTTATGCCTTCTCTTGGGCTTATTTCCTTCCGTTTTTGTCTTGTCCAACTCTGATGTAATAGCTTTTGTTTTATCTTATTGTACATTTTTTATGTTTTATAATTATCCCTTCAAAACTTTGTTTTCTAATGGAGACAGAAAAGGAGTAGATCCAGAATGGAGGGCAAGTGGGGAGGAACTGGAAGGAATAGAAGGAGGAAAAACTGTAATCAGTTTTTATATATTATTATATATTAAGTGAGAAAAAAAATCTATTTTCAATAACTGGAAACAAAAAGAAAGTCAATCAGGACAGTTGCAATATAGAATCAGAAGAGAAAAAGCAACAAAAAATGGTGGGGTACGGCTCATAAAACAATTTCCATATTTTAAACACTACACAAAACAGCATTATATAGAGTTATGTAAAATTAATAAGGCCACCCTGGGCCATGCTCTGTTTTGCAAGTGCAGGAAAACCAATTTCACATGACATGAACAAGACAATAGGTACAGGCTCACATTCTCAGATAGCAGACTGACATTAAGAGTAGAGTATAGCCTTTCCTGTATTTACAGGTACAGGAAAACACTAAGTGTGCATAAGTTGTAGAAATAGAAAGTGTGAGCATAAGTTGTAGAAATAGAAAGACGGGCTTTCTACAGAACTACATTTCATTAATTCTAAAATATGCATGTGCTGATATCACTTTTACAGCTAACAAATTATGAAAAATGTCAACATTCCCAACTATTTAAGTCACTAGGTTATCTAAAAAAAGACAATACATGAAGTTAACTAAAGAACTTTAAAAGACCAATTTAATTTTAAAAAAGAAAGATGATTTTCCTTTATTTTTAAACTATTAAGAAGAGCAAGCAGTCAGTGCTGGAAGTCCTATGCTGATCACCGCTGTGCTGAGGCGTGGAGCCTCGTCTCCAGCCCAAGTGTTAGCAACTACCAGCCAGCACCCCCAGCTTACCATGGCAGAACTAATATAATTTTAGTGAGTTGTTAAAGCTGAGTAATTACTATCAGTGAGTCACGTAGCTCTTGGAGGTATTAAAAGGCAAACCTACAAACTTATAGTCATGTCAGAAACGGATCCTTCTCTGATTACAATCTGCCCATGTGATACCAACATAATTTTTAATATCATCTAAAATAACACAGGATGCTTACTTTTCCTAATTATGCAAGATTCCCCATGTTACACTCAGAAACATAACTATACATGTAGAGTGCAACCCTTGTACCAGAAAGTGAAAATGACAGAAGGATCAAGCAAAGGGACGCAGTCATAATTGAATTTGCTTCACTTCTATTAAACATATGCACTGCCATGATACACAAAGCTAACTCCATTCACTACATCTCCGGAACAAGGTGTATTTCTTCAAATACAAAGACAATACAGGTAAAATTGAAGCTGGTTTTCTACACAATAAATTATTATTTTATTGTCTTTAAAAAAAAAAACAGCTTTCCTCACATGATATTTGAAAAGCGAAGAGAATAATGTGCAGAGATTTATATCTTACAACAGACCAAATGTACCCTCTGAGCATGCGAAGGGAACCAGGGACACTGTGTAGACATTCTACATGTTAATTAGTACCTTGGCATCAGGGACTGTGTCCTTGCTTTTCTTAACACTCCCACAGTTCTCTTCGGAGCTGGAGAAACACCTCTTTCTGCTGGAATCACAAGAAGGCTGACTCCTGCTGTCGGAACCACTGAGGATCTCAATTACCATGTGGATTAGGTATGTGTCAATGTTTTCAGGAACTAACATTCTAATGAGTTTAACTTTATACATATCTGTAAAAGACAGGAAGCCAAACAACAAAAGTTAAGAAGGATATTTTAGAAAACTATGTGGTGAAGATGATAAAATACTACTAGGAAGAAGAAAAATTGCCCAAGAAAATTTTTGTCTTTCAAATGGTAACATCCTTCAGGGAAATGGAATAAAATTATGTTTGCCTCTCATGACACCATGCAAACCCTTAGCTCCAGGACAGGCCAATATTAATGATGCTGTATAAGTCATTTCTCTGTCGGATTCCCTGAAAATAACAACCAACATGCATAGACCCCTTTTTAAGGGAACCTGTGCTTCAATTTCCAAATATTGGTTACAAATTAATATTTCTTAAAAAGAATTTACTCCTGGGGAGGGAGAGATAGCTCAGCAGTTAAGAGCATACACTGTTCTCACTAAGGAACCAAGCTTCATTCCTAGCTCCCACATCAAGTACTTCACAAACACCTGTAATTCTAGCTCCAGGGAATGTGATGCCCTTTTCTGGCCACTGTGGAGAACTGTACCCATGTGTATGCATTCATTTACACACACACACACAGAAACAAATAAATTTGTTCTTTTAAAAACAATTCTTTGGGGGAGGGGTTCTTTGCAGCCTTGGCTGTCCTTGAACTCGCTCTGTAGATCGGGCTGGCCTCAAATTCATAGAAATTCACCTGCCTCTGCTTCCAGAGTACTGGGATTAAAGGCATGGGCCACCACCACCAGGCTTAAAAACAATTCTTAAAGTACAAGCTATTGATGCTTATAAGATTCTAAGATAATTACGTTATTAATATATGCCAGAGCAAACCACATCAGTTACTTAAAATGCTTATCATGGGTAAATTTTCTGGGAGAAAATGACTATGGTCATTACAATATTGTTTTAATGAAAAATTGAAGACAAAAAGTGCTCAAAGGAGTGTTTACTCCTGTCTACCCAGGGTGAACAGAATACACGTGACAGAGTTCTAGCACAGAATTTTGCTTTCAGAATCAAGGAACTCGCATGTTTTGTGGCAACACAATTAACTCACGTCGTGGCAGTCATTCCCACTTCTCTACACCGTGGAGCATCTGGAAACCCTCTCCACATCACACACATCCTCAAAGTCAAGTACAATAAAACTAAGCAACTTAGAATCCACTTGTTCCTCCTCAGTGTTTATTAAACACATAAGGCACTCCTCACATGCAACTTAACTTAGTGATCAGAAGCCGAGTCATTTTTTAATGACAGCTTGACAACATGAATTTAAATTGTTGATGTTTTCAGGCTTATATTCTCTTTTCTCCCAAAGACTATGACTTGCTACTCAAGGACTCATCCAAAATGGAAAAAAAAATTAAAGCACAAATAAAAGTTATATACAGCTAACAAAAGTAGTACAGTTGGCTATCTACATATGTTACAGGTTAAAAATATAAGACTGGTGCTAAGCATAGTCTCAGTAAGGACTATGTGCTAATTCGTACTAAAATCATCAATGACATTAAAATATCAACCCCATTAAAACTGATTTGGGTCAATGTACCACTCTAATTATCTCACAAATTCTACCAACTCTTACTGCCCCAATGAGCAATCTGCTCTATATGTATACCAGGCTCGACTCTGAACACCTGCTGTCTTCAATTTTTCTTTAGAATAATGTTCTGATATATATTATATTATATTTCCATTATCTCTGGATTGCTGGAAGTGGGGTTGGTGGTTCACAGGTTAGATAATTTGCATACTGGTAAATTATCTCTAAACTGTGCTATATATATTATTATAACCATTAACCAAGGACATGCTCCTAAACATCTGAAATTAAGTAATTCAAATTAATTCTTAAATTTAAAAACTGATATTATACCAGTCCATTCTGTTCAACCTCAAAGCTTATGAAAGCTAAATACATTTCACTTTTTGATGTTGATATTTTGTCATCAATTTTTAAAATTTATTTTTTGATTTATTATAATTTATTCACTTTGTATCCCAGCTGTGGTCCCCTCTCTCATCCCCTCCCAATCTTGCCTTCCCTCCCTCTTCTCCTCCCATGCCCCCTTCCCCAGTCCACTGTTAGGGGAGGTCCTCCTCCCCTTCCCTCTTCCCTCTGACCCTAGCCTATCAGGTCTCATCAGGACTGGCTGCACTGTCTTCCTCTGTGGCCTGGTACAGCAGCATTGTATATAGACATATATTTGTATAACCTGCTTCAAATCCAAGTAGAGGAAGAGGATTATGACAACCATATCTTAACCCTCACTTCCTTGATAAAGCACTCATGGTCTGTAAGCTGTCATCTGTGGGTGTGAGATTTGGTATTAGAAGCGTGTACCAGCATACTGGCTAAAGTATTTTTAATTAAAGCTTAGCATCAGAGGACATGTTATAATAATGAAATGACTGCAAAAAAAACTTACTATGGAAAAATATAAGAGCACTTGTTAAGAAATTTAGATAAATTGTATATTGAAATATTTTAGTATGTAGAACAGATTAAAATGTTATGAAAATTAATTGCATTTATTTTTAATGTAGATATTAGAAAATTAAGGTGTCCATATGGTTAACATTATATTTTTATTGGGTAGTACAGTTCTAGAAAAATCACTGGATTTTCCCATATTTCAGTCAACTAATATAATGATACTGTATTATATTCATTTTCTTCTGTGAGTTGTTAAGATTAGATAATGATAATACACATCCTTAATTTTATGATGTAAGTATAGTATTTAAACTATTTTTTAGAAAACAGTCAAAATACTGAACTATGATAATGTTATGCTGAGGTTATTTTAAAAAAAATCCTTCTCTATTTTGAATAAAATGTACTTCTAAAATTAGGAACATATAGTACAAGAACTTGAGTACACAAACATTTGCCTCTGGCTTAGCTGCTGATGGTGATGTCAGTAAAGAAGCTTATGAATGTAGGAGTCACTGGTATTTTCATACACTTCTGCAAAGTCATCTGCACTACAGTTTTGCAAGTAGGTCAAGTGTAGTTTTAGATCTTAATTGCTCTCCACCCTGTGTGGAAGTCAGTACTAAAACGTGTCCTGGAACACAGAATGACAGCACTAGCTGTCCTTTGCTGTGTCAAGACAGATCGTGTTACTTCTTTGTCGAAGGTCCCTTGGAAGCCACCCTTAATTTCCTAGTTCCATGCACATAAAGAATAGGGGATATTATTCTGAGTATTATCTAGGTACCTCATTAAATATCTTACTTAACTTATTAAGCACAGTTAAAACACTCATTGTAATGAAAGACGTTAAAATTATATAAACAGAAAAATAATTTAAAAAACACAGAATTATAAAAACACAAAGCTACAGAGTGAAAATCTAAATCGATAACAAGAATACACAAAAATAAGATTTCAATTCACAGTTACTCTATTTTTGAGTTTATATATATATTGGTTATACATATATAACCCATATGTATATAGGTTATACAGATATAACATATATATGGTTACAAGCACCGGCTGCTCTTCCAAAGGTCCTGAGTTCAATTCCCAGCAACTACATGGTGGCTCACAACTATCTATAATAAGATCTGGTGCCCTCTTCTGGTGCACAGGCAGGCAGAATGCTGTATAATTAATTAATTAATATTATTAATATTAAAATTTTTAAATTAATTTGGAATTGTACAATATTTAGATCTTGTTCCTTAAAATACTGAATTATGTGATAAGGCTATAGCTAAATAAAAATATAACACCCAAACTATTAATGTGGTATGTACATTTTCATTCCTTGTGGTAATATATAATGATATTTTCTCCAGTAAGACCAAGAATAGTATCCTATCAAAGAAAAACAAGAACCCAAACCCCAAATCTCACACCCACAGATGACAGCTTGCAGACCGTGAGTGCTTTATCAAGGAAGCGAGGGCTAAGATATCACGGTTGTCATAATCCTCTTCCTCCACTTGGATTGAAGCAGGTAATACAAATTTATGTCTATATATTATATATCCAACCTATGTATAGTATATTGTAGAAGAGTAAGGCACACGATTCATAAACACATTTTAAATACATCTCTGTTCTTTGCTGCAATCTTTAGCACAAGTCTGAGGAAGATGTACTTGTACTGTAGTCTGTGGATGGTGGTGGTGATGACTGTTCAACTAGTGGCTCGCTCACTCATTATAAAATGCTTTATTTCTAATGCTTGTCCAATGCTTTATTTCTAAGGCTGTCCAATTAGAAATGCTTTTTTATATTACTAAACTCTGTGTGGTTATGTGTGGCATTATAATTCCTTAGTTTAAATAATTTATCAAGTTGGCCCTACCTACATATGTACACAGAGAACAATGAAAGGACTCAGTAGATTTAGCCTGAGTGCGTGTGTGCATGCATGCGTGTGTGTGTGTGTATAAAATGACAATAATTAATAAAGATGTCATGAATTTGAGATGGGATGCAGAATACGGCAATGAAATGAATGGAGGAGAGGGAGTGGAAATAATGCAAATACTGTACTTGTGCATGAAATTCTCAAGCACTAAAAACTGATTTAAAAATTAATTATATAACAACTGAAATAAAAACTGCTAAGTTCAGACAATAGAGGGTACTAGTTATAGTAGACAATATTTGAAGATAATATAAAATATTAAAGGAAATAAAATCAATTTATTCTAATCAAAGAAACTTAATAAACCTGAATCTTACTAAAAACTTTAAGTTACATTTTATTTTGATAACTTTGAAGTTAATTTTAAGTTATTTGGCAGAATGACTTAAAATGGCATAGTAAAAATTAAAACATGATATAAATCATTATCTTAGACATGATATGAAAACAATTTTTGCAACTCTCTAGGCCTCAAATCCCTCTGTGAAACAGGGTGGAAGTAGGAAAGAGAAAAATGTTTCTACTTTTTTTAAAATCAAAAGTTCTATAACTTTGTAATTACATAAATTATAAACTAAATTAACAGCAACTTACCTCTTTACCACAGTCAAACCAGACAGTTTCTGTAGTTATGTGGCAATGTTGAGTTAAGGTTAGAATAGTCCTTTTTTGTTATTTAAGAATGTTGCTCAATTATTTAGTATATAAACACACAAAAGATCACTATAGCCCATAGAATTTTCAAGTCACTCCCTTCTGTAAAATACAATTTACCATTGCTATTGTTGTCTGTTCACCAAAGCCCACAGGTTCCATATCCATATTCACCAACCACAAACTGGGAATGGTGTACGTGCCTATAATCCCAGCACTCAGAAGACTGAGTCAGGAGGAAGGCAAATTCAAGGCCAGCCTAGACTACACAGCAACACCTGTCTCAAAGCAAACAAAAACCAGCGACTGTACTAAACAAGCACACATCCTCCATATTGTTTTTCAAACAATACATCACAACAACTACTGACATGTACAGTATAGCAACTGCATGTTGTGTTATACTGTGATTTACAGTACACAGGATATGTGTTACATTTTATACCGGAGACTCAGACACCCACAGATATTAGGTCCCCATGAAGACATGAAATCAATACTGAGGAGTGATTATGCAGTTTCTGAACTCTTCCTCCGTATACTCTTCCTTACCAACTTCATATGTTCTTTTGTTTTTCAATATTTATTTGTATTTTATGTGTATCACTGTTTTGTCAGCATGTATGTATGTGCACCATGTGTGTACCCGATGCCTGCGTAAGCCAGAGCAGGGCATCATAGCTCCTAGAACTGGAGTTACAGACATTTGAGGGTCAGCATGTGGGTGTTGGGCACCCAACCCGGATCCTCTGCAAAAGCAGCAAGTGTTCTTACCCATTGAGCCGCCTCTCTAGCTCCAACTTTATATATTCCTGACTAACTGTCAAAAAGATGGAGAATAAAAGTGATGCTATTTAAAGGGTGTTTCAAAAAATGCTCTTGGATATTACCATTTACTTTAATCATCACCATCTTTACTAATGCCACTATTTACTGTTTGCCATGTACCAAGTCTCTCTGTCTGGTACCCAATGTGCTTCTCACAATTCTGTAAAAAATAAAAACGCTACTCCTTTCCATTTCATACATGTAGAAATTAAGACCTGGAGAGGTGTGGGTCATGAGCTAATAGTTACAAATCATGAAGTGTCAGAGCTAAGACTGGCTCACTATTGCATCTACTGCCAAAGCCTTCGCATCCTCCTGTCTGGGCTAATGCCATCTGTCCATTCACGGTAACCATTCATGAAGGTAGCCAATCAAGTGTGAACATGATTGTCAATGTTTTTAAAGGAAGCATGCTGTATAACATTGCCCAACTACCTTATCAAAACATCCAAGACAACGCATTTCTAGCACAAATTTCAGTCTTTAGCTTTCCCTAAAACAATGTGTCATTTTGCAATGGGCAAAGGTTGATAAGACCTCAGTCTAACCCTGCACAGTAAATGCTGTTTTCTCATTCTGCTTTCACGTCTAACACACTGGCTACTGATGTCAGAAAGACTGACTTTCTCATAAGATGACTCACACTTGAGTTCTGGATATTTTACCACAAAGTCTACAATCTTGGCTCTTGGGTCTTAATTCGGAAACTTTAATTTAACCTTCGCAGATCCACATTGACCAAGTTCCCAAAAATACCAATTAATTAACTTATTAATATGCAAGTTTCCTCTAAATCTTAAATTAGCATGTCTAGACATGCTTTCTGTATATGCAGATATGTACAGAAAATCAAATTATAACCAGAATGTATTTGAGAAAGACTCTTCTTAAGTAATTCTTTTGCTCCATCACTTTACAAATTCTTGGTTGAGGGAAAGCTCTAGCTGTTTCCACATGAGAAAGAATTTCAGGTAGTGAAAAGTAAGAATTTACTCAGCTTTGTAGAAAAGGGTATTTTTGTTTGTTTTTAAGATAATCATTGCTGTAGTCTAACAGACAGAATTTTTTAATCAGATTTACTGTTATAATATGCTGACCTTGTATCTGTACATTTAAGAGGGGAAAATCCTCTAATGTGCCTTAACTTTACTTCTGTTAAAAAATAAATTGCTCAAATATTTCTGTAAGGCAAGCAGGGGACTGTGCTCCATGGCACAGCTGAAGTTCCTCAGTGGGACAAGAACAAATGCTTTATTTTCTTCTCCTCCTCTTTTTTTTTTTTTTTTTTTTTTAAAATGCTGTTTTGCCTGTATGTACATCTATGAACCATGTGTGTGCCTCCCCACAGAGGTCAGAAGGGGGTGTCAGAACCCGTGGAACTGCAGTAACAGTAGGTTGCGGACCACCACGTGGGTGTCAGAAATCAAACCCCGGTCTTCTGGAAGAACAGACAGTACTATCAACTGCTGAGCCATCTATCAAGCATGTAGAAGCAACTCTTCCACTGGGCTACAGAGCTTGACATGTCAGTGACTGACACCACTGACTGTGTTGCTTAGAGAAAGACGCCAATGTCAGGGACTCAGGGCCACTTAGGGGAAAATGAGGAGTGCATCGGCTGCTGAGAATGAATCTCAACAACAATGTGGTTTCACACAGACATGCCTGGTTTGGGGATGAGTGGGAAAATCATAATCTGAGGAGAAAGAAGTCTTCAGTATACTTTCTGTGAGGAAGAAACAATTGGTTTTTTTGTTTTTAATATTAAAAGTTACCAAAGTAAAGTTTCACCACAGCAGAAGGCTCAGTGCTGTTAACATGAAACTATGAGCGAATGGCTTATTTACTTCATGTGAGTTGATTCAGGTTATTAGGCTGAGAGAATGGCTTTGCTCATCACCTGAGTTGATGGGAGGGTTTCGGATAACATTGGTAATGATCTTCTGAACCTCTGGGGTCAGGCCAGCTCGTTCCATATCCAGGGGGCAGCCAGCTTTTATCGCCTGGGCTAAGTGCATGCCGATTGCAGTGAGAGGCAGAAGCCTATTCTCAGCTATGCTGTGCTGCAGAAAGAACAGCAAAGGAAGCAGTGAGCTTAAAACCTCCTATGGCACCTCACAGAAAGAAAACACATCTCAGGCAGTAAATACTCACTGAGAAATAAGCAATGAATAAACCTTGAGTAAAATGTTCATTGTAAATATTTCTTCAAAACTGTATCGACATTTCATGGGCTCTACTCTGTATACTTATTAAAACAAATCACCCAACTCAGCCAAAATTCAATCCCCGCCCCTTCCCTCTGTATCTACTTTAAAAAGCTATTGTGTCAGCCATCAGCTACTTTATGCTAAGTCTGATATCTGTTACAATCTTTGAAAACATTAAAAAGCTGTATTGTAATGCTCTTAAAATTAGACATGGTGCTTTGGCTACATGAATTTCCAATGCTGCAACTCCTAAATGCTCAGGGATAATGCAAGGCTCCAGAAGCACTCTTTAGAAAGGCCCCAAGAAGACTTTCATAAGCATTTTTAATGGACTCCGTTCATAAAGCACTAACCACAACTTACCAAGGATGCTTGCTCACCGTTGTCATACTACTAAACTTAAGATAATCATGATCACTTTAGAAAGTATTTTTATAAAGATTTTTAAAATACTTGTGGCTCCAAATACATTTATAACATGTATTAAGTAAAAGCAATTTTTAAACAAAAAACATAGATGCTCAATGACACTAACATTTATGATGTCTCTTTCAATATATTTAGAAAGTCTGAATTTAGACTGTACGTGTGAGTGTTGATTTATTCACAGAGCGGACCAGCTATGGCAGTATTTTCATCTTTCATGAATAGGTGTTAAATTGCTTTCATTAAATGTCTACGCTTTTCCATTAAAAAGTATGAACCATGTGTGTATAATATCGGGGTTATTTGATACTAGGCATCAAATTACTTCCAACTAATTGCTTTATTGCTCATCACTAATTAGTCCTCAGATGTGTTTAATTTTGTGGTTAACTAGCAAGACCCTCTTAAGACTCCAGGGAGGTATAGATAATCAACAATCATTTTGTAAAATCAACCACTACATAATACCATAAGACATAAATTAAGATATTTCATTCATCACATCACTGATTATAAATGTAACATATTTTATGTATTATTATTAAAACTAGAATATTCTTTATTCAAACATTTGGAGCCCATTTCAAACTTTCTTGGTAACCATATTCAGTTACTATATACACATGGTCAGAACACACATATAAGATATATTGAACAAGTGCCCCTATTCACTGCTTACACAAGATCTCACTACATTCCACTTATCATATATGTTTAAAAGAGCTAATGAAATAATTTAGTTTCTGGCTAAGGGTTTTTCTAAGTTTAAGTAGGAAACTTGACTGTCAGTAGACATTTTAAGTTAAGGGCTGTATGTTTTTATTTTCACACAACTGTGAGCTAAATAAAGTGCAAGGTGGGCAGGCCCTGACCCAAATGAGCGGTTCCAAATCAGTTTAATGTCAGAGAACCAGGGATGCAGAGGAGGCATCTCATGGTGCCCTAGTCTAGTGATGTGCTTTCCATCTCTTAGAACACTCGGCAGCCATAAAGACTTATGTTAGAGCAATGAAGAAATATGACCTGTGATCATTTTTCACAGTAGTAAGATATTTAAGAATCTCTAACACAGTTTTGGAGGAAAAAAGAGAGGAGCAAGTGCTAGAAAAAGGTGTGAAATGTGAATTTTTAGAAAGTTCTTTTCAGATCTTTGACTAACTTCCAGAAAGAGTGTATACATCATACACATGTAACAGCATGTTTTCACAGCTTTGTGCTTTGTTTCTGTTTAACTCACTGAATTTATTTTCTCTGACAGTGCTTGGCATGAAGCCCGGGGGCTCCATATGGTAGATAAGTGTGCTGCACGGAAGGCATGGAAGCTAAGAATTACACACACTCCATAATACAAAGCTCATATTTCATAATAAATGGCATAAAGTACAGTGTATCTACAGGTAGTATTATTGGATCATGTTTTGTTTCTGTGTTTCTTAACACATACACTAATTGTTTTAAACTGGTTTTAAAATGCCTCTGCTACATTCTCCCTGAGCTACAGCTGTGCCCTCCCTCACTGTGAGAGACTCTGCTAAGGTAATCATGGACACACTAGACAGACAGGCTGACTGGAAGGACAGACTGCCATCGGTGTGTAAAAATTCAACATGTGACTTACTATATGATAAGAAGTAACAAACCCCAAGACACAGTTTTAGTACTAAGAAGCTGTGGAAACACGCTGAAGGCACTCTGGACCCTGAAGGCAGCACTCGCTCTTACCAAGGACATCTTCTTTTCCTGAAATAAAGAGTATGTGACCGCCACCGACTGTGAGAGTGAGCATTCTTTATTTTCCGTTTCCTGACTTTTCTTCTGTTCCTCTTGGGGTTTTGTATTCAAGAAGAGGTCTGTCTGCAGAATTTTAAATATAGCACAAATAATAATGTAATGCCAGATATAATAATATCATCAACATAATGATCACCATACAACTGTGAGGCACTGCAGGAAGATGTGACACAACATCTCTGCATAACAAAGAGTTTTCATGGAGATGCAAAAAGAAGTTGAATTCTTATGTGTTGACTTAAAGGGCTAAGAAAGCTAAAGAGAATCCAACAAACTTTCTCATCTTCTCTTTGCTCATAAGAAGGAATTCAAAAGGAACCATATGATGTTCTAAATAATATCTTTAAACTAATCCCCTCATCCTCTGGAATGAACACTGAACAGAATCAATATTCAAGTTTATATACTATAGTCACAGAATAGGCACATAGATCATAAAGAAACATAATCTCATTATATCTGTATATGTATATAACTATATGTGTATACATGTATTTAAACATATATGTATATATATATGCATTTATGTTAAATATATAGTAATTAGCTGTAAAATACACACCCTAACTAGAACTCTGGCCTTGAAGCATCATGTAAAGTCTTAGATATAGGGGACTCAGAGGATAAGAGCATACATTGCTCTTCTAGAGGACTGGAGTTTTATTTCCAGCACCCACATCAGGTGGATCCTATACACAAACACACACACACACACACACACGATAAAAAAATAAGTATATAAAACATTCAAAAGATGTACTTTAAAAATTCTTTTAGATATAGTTTCTTATGAAATATCCAAAAGATAAAATAGAAGATTTTTAAAAATTCGTTAAAAATACTGTAATTTTCTTAAGCTTTAAAATGAAACTGGTTTTTTTTTAGTTTACATATAAAAGCCAGATTAAAACAGCATACTATAGTCATAATAAAACAAGAAAAATAGCTGAATAATTTAATGAGCCTAGTCTCCTGATGAATAAAACTGGTTCCATCTTGATAATTTCTGACTGTGATCTGTTAAGCTTCGTTAGGCTTCATTTTGAGGACACTTGTTTCTATATCCTGTCATTTAGGAAGCTCAATAAAAATTTAAATATATTTGAAGTAAATATATTAAACGATTATTGAATATGGTGGCTGTTTACTTATTTAGTAAATGTTTTCAATAATGCAGGCTAACTGTAGAAGCCAGCAGTCATTTTTCTCTCTCCAGACAGGCAGGAAGGTTGTTTCAACACCTACCCTTTGGAGCATTTCTCTTTTGCCTCACTTCAGTTTCCTCTTTGCAGAGGAGCTAGGTGAAGTAATCCACTCACATTTAGATAATAGCACTAATTCATGAAGAAAGATATACCAAGTGCTCAGCAAGGGTGCTTATTCAGTTACTACCAATGAGCGTGCTATTCCTTAACTAATCATCAAGACACCACAATTTCATTTCCAAAATATCTAATATGAAATACAATAAATTTCATATACTTTCTTATATAAGGTTATGAAAGAGAAACTTTAAAGTTGCCAGAGACACTCTGTTTCAAAAGAGGAAACGGTACATACAAAACCAGACATTGCTGTGGAAAGCCTGCCCACGGATACCAGGGAGAAACAAGTCCATACAATGCGTGGGTGCTTAATTTCTCCAAGGCTCTTCACCACTTCCCTGATACAGAAGTCATCATTCCTGTGGTTCAGATAAGCAAATGGAGACCCAGGGAAATGGAAGAAAATGTCACATTCACAAGGTAAACCACAGCACTGAAATCCGGGTCCCTGACTCTGAGATCAGCAGTCTTCACAGACTCTGACAGTTTCATGTCACAGTGTCGATTATTACAGGAGTTTCAAGAAAAACAAACAAACAACCCTTGTGAAAATGGTCACTTATGGCAGAACAAGAAACTATGAAATGAAATAAGGAGAACACCATAAAGATTGAAGAGAATAAAGTGAAAGTTATCTAGTGTTAAGGGGCAGCAGCACAGAATGGGGCACTGATTAGGGCACACGAAACCGTAAAAAACAAAGTGTCTATGCTCCTTACCAACTAACAGCGAAGATACACACACAGCTTCAACTTCTAACTACCATACTGGAAAATTTGTCAGCCAAAATACAATACTTATCCAAATTTAAAGTAAAACTTCCCAATTAAACAGACATGTACATAGACGGCTACTTTAACCATTAACTATAGGTAACTAGTAGGTAGCTGCCAGGCATGATGGCTCCTGATTATGATTCCAAACCAGAAGACTGAGATAGGAATCCAAGTTCAATTCCAAATGGGACACACAGTCAATTCCAGGGATGCCTCGGCTGCAAAGGGAGTTCTTGTCTCAGTTAATTTTCAGAAGCATGTAGCTAACATGTTATTATAACCATTTACTGTAAATCCATCCAAACTCATTTTCTATGTGTCTAGATAGAAATGCAAATAGAGCGAGAACATGATGCCTCTGAAACAGTCCAGAGGTGTTACTCTCCAAGAGTTTCTGTAAACCAGAATGTTTTACCTGAATGCTATTCACTTGGCAGAGTTGTTTGATGACTTCCAACAGAGGGCCCAACAGAGTAGCTTTGCCTTCAGAGACACCATCAATCTGTTTCATATTTTCAACAGTGGTTGGTCTGTCGTTTACAAGCAAAAGAGGGAGAATTATGAAGAAGCCACTGAGTCAGCATCACTCCAAGAACATACTGATACTTAGCCTCACAATGTGCTCAGTAACTGTATATTTCTCTACAACTCAAAACCAGCACAAATGGCAACACCTCGTAATTCCTTTCTCTGCCTTTGTCCACTGATCGATTTGCCATGTAAACAATTAGCAAATGAAGGCACCACTTCCATCACCACAAAACTCCATATGCATACTAACTAGTGAAGAGAACATTACCAGAAAAGAATAGGCTAACACCCCGTGTTCTGCTTGGTTATCCGTATTATTCACAGAAATGGAAAACTATGAGGCTCTAAATGGGCAGTGAGAAAGGCTGAGAAACTCAGAAGAAAGTCTCATCATATTTGTTCCCTGAAAAATGTCTGTGGTAACAACAACCTGGCCCACTAGGCCTTTAATGAGATGGGCTTATTTGGACCTCTGTTTCTTGAACTTCAGATCTGCTTTAAGGACACACTGCTAGTAGGAACATTCACATTTTAAATGCCCACAGATACAACTTTGATGCTGCACTTTAAAACCTCTATTATACACACATGGAATCATGCAGCTCAATTTTTCCCATTATGTCCACTATCTAAGACTATATGATGTCTTCTTCCTAAAATCCAATCCAATTAGTGATTGTACTTATGGTCTAAGTATATTCTCTGAATAGTAAAGTGTCATATTGGAATATTTAGTTATTTCTTTAACAAAATAATAATAATGACATGTAAGCTACTATGTGATACTCTGAGAACATCCTACAGTGAAGCAAGACCTATTAAGTGAAAGTAGTGACAGGAACAAGGTTTAAACGGAACCAAAGGGCAAAACGTTGGAAATGAGTCCTAAGTGCTTACCGAACACCCAGTTCTTCTGAGACAATGCTGGGTGATGTCAAAGCCATAAAGAGGTGGGAAACTAGTACTGTTTTTCACAGTGTTTAAGTTCTACTGTGTGATACATGTTTACAACTAACTATACAGAAAAGTAAATAAAACACTATTCACCAGAAAAGCATCTTTAGAATTCACCCAAAAACCCCTGATAAGTTCAAGGGAGAGGAATTATTTGGCTGATAAACACAATGAGAGACATTATGAAGGAAACTATAATTAGACCTTGAGGGTTTAAGAGGAATTGTGAGGAATCAAGGAATTCAAGACAAAAACATCTATGAAAGCTAAGAGGGAATCGCCCAGAAATGGTAAGCAATATATGTCATAGAAACCATTCCAAATTAAAAAAAAAAAAAAAAAAAAAAAAGGTTTAAGTCAACAAATAGAAGGGCGTGAATTCTAAGCCAAAGAAGTCAAGACTACGTAATTAATTTGTTATTAGTTATTAGATGTGAGGGAGTGGCCAGGTAAGAAGCCTCTGCAAAGGAGTGCTCCGCAAAGGTCTGAAATAGCAATAGGAAGAAAGGTACAGACTGATAGACACAGGAGTGTCTAAATGAAGAGTTAAAAATTATTTTAAAAAATTATTTAAATAAGAGGAAGGGGGATACTAAGAGGAATGAAAGCAAGAGCAAGGTTTTATGTGTCATTAGGAACATCATAACTAAAAACTTGAAAATATGAGAGAAGAGGGGTTTGGAAGATATGAGACACAGAGAGTGTGAGGGTGATGGACGCAGTTTTATGAACCTGAATGTGATTCACTCTCGTGGAGACAGGGAACTCAAGGCCATCTAAGACACTGCCGTGGCAATGTGACAGTCACCTCACAGGCTGGAGCCACGCTCACACTATTACCTAACGCTTTGTTTTAGAAATCTGTTCTATCAAAGAGCATCTTACCTCATTTTGGCCATATCCAGCAGAACCTTATTTGTTGCCAGAATAGCCGGTGGCACATCCATTTTATTAGCATGTTTCTGTCTAGCTTCCACCAGCTTGGCATACAGCACAGTCTAGGAGGAAACAAAGCAGCACTGCTTTTTAGAACACACTTAGAAGAAGTTGCCTCTACTTTTAGAAGTCCAGAAGCCCCTTAAGATGAAGTGATCTCTAGATTAGAGTATTAGCTGCCCATTCATAAGCTAATCACCACAGTACAAACAAACAAACAAACAAACAAAAAGCCTTACCCGAGTGTCCAGCTCTTGGGCCGAAATAGCAGGTTCTAGGGAGCTATAAGATGTTCCTGGTGACTGCATCATGACTCTACAATTAACAAAAAAAAAAAAAAAAAAAAGTAAATACATTTTTCTTCTTTCCTCATTTACTTTTTATTTCATAATCCAAAAACTAGCATTTATTCTTCACAATACCAGTAAGAAAATCTGTACTTGAATTGCAACAGCCTAGATATGAAACAGTTTGGATTTGATAATTTATTAAAATGCTACAGTTGAAAGTGCCATTTAGTTCTCTCATAGTGGCTTAAGGAGGGCATCTACCAATCTTTCTTCTCAGGCGCATGCTTAGAAACAAAATATTGTTTATCCACAGTGAAGAGGTGCTTTCCTAGCCAACCGGAACATAGTTCTGTCCTTGCTGAGAAATCACTGATTCTGTTTGGTAGGCAGCATTAGCAAAGAATTAATATTGTTATTCAGATATTTTTCAAAATGAAACAACAAATATATGACAAAAGACACAATTTTATTTTGGATTTTTCAAAAATTGTATGCAATGTATCAAATTACAAGACAGGAAACGTGCTTGGGAGGAAAACTAGCTATCTCATAAGAAGCATTTCTCACTTATAGGCTAATTATAAACAGGAAAAACTGCAAAAATAAAATTGTTTATGATAACATTTTTTAAGGATGTCATATTTAAGTCTCTACTTCTTGAAAATAAAAGAGTGAATGTGTTTAGTATTCCAGAAATGCTTGTAAATTTCTGTTCCAAGAATTCAGTAAGTACAGTATAAAGTAAGAATTCATCCTCACATTTATCACATCCTATCACATATATTAAACAGGCTTGCACCTGACAAGACATACCAAGTTAATCAATTATAACAAGAAATACCAAGTCAATCAATTATAACTGTCCTTAAATTCACATTTATTCATTTATTATATATATGTGCACATATGCCATGGTGCATGTACATAGGCCTAAGGACAAACTGAGGGCCTGTTCTCTCCTTCCACTTCTCTGTGGACACCAGGGGTCAAGCTCAGGACATGAGGCTTGTGGACCAAGCCTTCATCCCCTCATTCAGCTCAATAGCCCAATTTATATTTTTAAAAATTTTTTATAGCTTATTCACTTTACATCTCAATTGTAGCCTCCTCCCTTGTCTCTTCCCGGTCTGCCCTTCCTTCCTCTTCCCGAATCTCTCTCTCCTAGTCCTCAGAAACGGGGAGCCCTCTTCCCCTACCATCTGACCCCAGCCTATCAAGTCTAATTAGGACTGCCTGGAGCCTCTTCCTCTGTGGCCTCGAAATGTCTCCCCCCTCCAGGGTTAAGTGATCAAAGAGTGAGCAACAGAGTCCATTTCAGGGACAGCCTCTGCTCCCCTTACTAGGGAGCTCACATAGAGACTGAGCTGCCTATAGGCTACAGCTGAGCAGGAGTCTAGGTCCTCTCCATGCATGGTCCTTGGTTGGTGCATCAGTCTCTGCAGCCCCCCCCCCCCACCTGGGCCCACCTTTGTTGACTCTATTGGTCTTCTTATGAAGCTCCTGTCCTCTCTGGGTCCTTCTATCCCCCTATTTTTCCTATGACTCCCTGCGCTCTGCTCAAAGTTTGGCTGTGAGTCTTAGCATCTGCTTTGATCCTTTGCCTAGTAGAGCCTTTCAGAGGACATTTATGGTAGGCTCATATCCTGTGCCCTCTCTTCAAGGGCTTCTTATGTCTATTCTATATTTTTTACTTTGTTTTCATAGAATCTTTATAATGACAGGCTACTGGCATGATGACTTTTAGTAAACCAAAACCTTACTATCATATTTTCTTGCAAAATTCTAAGTGCTACCACTAACATAGAAATGAACACAGGAAAAGTTCATAAAAATGTGCTGTAAAAGGCAAAACAAGTGAAGCAGCAACAGCCTCACTGATGGTACTATTGATTGGTAACCTGACGGAATCTAGAGTTACACAGGTGTTTACTTAGAGATTACTTAGACCAGGTTAATTGGGAAGAGAAGACTCATCTGTAATATTGGGCTGGGATCCCAGACTATGTAATAACAAGGAAGAAACTAAGTATAAAATATTCATTTCCCTCTGCTACAGGTGCAGTCAGCTGCTCAATGCCTGCCACCATGAATCTCCCACCATGAAAGAGTACACCCTCAAGCACACAGTCTGCCTTCCCTAGGTTGCTCTTGTCAGGGAATTTGTCCCAGGTGCATGGAAAATGATAATTACTGTCTTCTATCAAAGAGAAGCTTGGGAGCAGGTGGATTCACCGCTCCTCAAACCACTCCACACAATATAAAGAGAAAGAACACCACCAAACACATATACTGAAGCTAGCATTACCCTACCAAAACAAGATAGAGACATGCATACACACAGAGAAAGAGACAGACAGTCAGACACACAGAAAGAGAAACAGAGACACAGACAGAGATAGAGAGACATGGACAAGAGACACAGACAGATAAAGACAGAGAGAGACATAGAGACTATTGACTAACATGAACATTAAACATAAATACAAAAATAAACCTGCAAACAAAATTCAGGAACACATAAGGCCATACACCATGGCCAAGTGGCTTACATTCCAAGGATATGGTCCAACACAGTATATATAAAAGACAACATACAAACACCCAAAGACAGTCTCCAGGACACATGATCATCTCAATGTACAGAGAAAAAACCTCTGACAAAGCACAACAGCCCTATGAAAAAATCCCTTAAGAAACTACAAAGAGAAGGAACATACCTCAACATAATGAAGGCTACACACAGTAAACCTACAGCCGATGTTATAATAAGTGAGGGGGAAAAAATGAAAAGATGTCCTCTAAAATCAGAAATGAGACAAATGTCCCTAGTTTTTCCATTCTTAGTCAGTGGAGGCCTGAAGAACCAAGCTAGAACAGTCAGATAAGAAAAAGAAACAAAGGGATACAAATAGGAAAGAAAAAAGTATCATTCCTACCTGCTGCTAATATAATTATGTCTTTTAAAGATGCTAAGGATTCTACCATAAAACTCTCAGACCTCATAAAGATTTTTTTCAGCTACAAAGTAGGTTGCAAAATGAACATATTGAAGTCAGTAGCTTCTCTACACCTCAAACAAAAAAAACTTGATTAAGAAGTCGAGGGTAGGGAATTCCCACTCATAGTAGCTTTAAAAACCTAGGAATAAGCCAACCAAGGAAGTGAAGGCCTTTTGCAACTTTAAACATTGAAGAAGAGGCTGAAGACATTAGAAAATGGAAAGATCTCCAATACACAGAGACTGGCAGAATATGATGACAATAACTAAATTACAGAAACAGATCTAAAATTCAACATAATCCCCCATCACAATTCAAAAGAAGTTTCTTCATAGAAAGAAAAAAATTCCTAAAACTCAAAGAGAAGCAAAATGAGCCCAAATGGCAAAAGCAATCCTAAGCAGAAGGCACACTGAAGATATTACAATAACTGATCTCGAATTATACTACACAGATACAATATGAACAAACAAGCAAACAAACAGAAAACCATGGCACTGGCACAAAACCTGACACATAGACCAAGAAAATCCAATAGCAGAATTAAATTCACAGCTATATTTACTTGATTTTTTTATAAAGGCCTCAAAATATACAGTAAAGAAAAACAGCAAAGAATGCTAGGAAATCTGGAGAAAGAGAGAATAAATATAGATCTGTATTCTGACCTTGTATAAAATTTTCAAAATTCTGAAACAACTATAGAAAAATACTTCAAAGTACAGATATAGGCAAGGATTCCACAGAGCAGGACACAATCACACATGAGATTGAATGAAATTAAAAAGCTTTGGTAAAGCAAAGAAAACAATCACCAATGTGAAGAGAAAGCCTGCAAAATAAGAGTAAATCCCATTAACAGGAACTTAATATCTAAAATGTATAAAATTAAATATCAAATATTCAAAATTAATCAATAAGTAAGTCAATGGGTTGAACTGACAATTCTCAAAAGATTAAAATACGAATAGCAAATAAATACCTGAAGAAAAAGTTCAATATCCTCAGCCATCAGAAAAATAAAAACTGTTCTGATATTCCATCGCACTCCAGTAGAATGGGTATCATCAAGGAAACAAACAACAAATGCAGACAAAGACTAAAGGAAGCTGTAGTCACTGTTTATAAGAATGTAAACTAAAGTGGCCGCTATGGAAATCAGTATATCAATATATCAAAAACTATAATTGCAATATGAAGCAGGTTTGGATATATACAAAGAACTGTAAGTCAACATAGCACAGTGACACCTGTCCATCCTTCTTAACTGCTGCACTATTTACAATAGCCAGGGTATGGAACCAAGCTAGATGCCCACCAACACTGAATGGATAAAGAAAATGGGATACATATACACAATGCAGTTTTATCTAGCTTTAAAGAATGCAATTATGACATTCACAGGACAATGGATAAAACTAGAGACAATTATAATAAGCAAAATAACTCTGACTCAGAAATAAAAGCACCACTTTTTCTCTCATATACAGATCTAGATGTGTGTGTGTGTGCGTGTGTGTGTGTATGCATGTGTGTGTATGTGTGCCACAAAAGTAAAAGCACGAAGAGAATGGGGGAAGAGGACTGAAGGGAGACAAGGAGTGATAAAGTCAGCAATGGGATCCATACATCATGAAAGCAGGAGGAAGAGAAAGGAAACTAGCAAGAAGAGAAGAAAGTATGAAGATGGTGGAGCAGGTGAAAAAACAATGAATTACATACCTGTATGAAAATGTTTTAAGAAAACCCATGTATTTGTATGCCAAACAAAACTTGATTTAAAAGCATTGTGTGTGATTATTACAATTACACAGAAGAAAATTTCAAAGTAACCACAGAAAACATTAACAACCTAGATCATATACCACATCCTTGAAGAGACATTATTAAGAATAGGAATAATACTTACATTTGATTTTAGCTGAAAAGCTAAGAAATTATAGTGAACAAGAATTTTTTTTAACTTTTTTAATTTTTTTTTATTAATTACACTTTATTCCTTTTGTATCCCCCCATAAGGCCCTCCCTCCTCCCCTCCCGATCCCACCCTCCCTCCCCTTTCTGCATGCATGCCCCTCCCCAAGTCCACTGATAGGGGAGGTTCTCCTCTCCTTTCTGATCTTAGTCTATCAGTTCTGATCAAAAGTGGCTGCATTGTCCTCTTCTGTGGCCTGGTAAGGCTGCTCCCCCCTCAGGGGGAGGTGATCAAAGAGCAGGCCAATCAGATTATGTCAGAGGCAGTCCCTCTTCCCATTACTAGGTAACCCCCTTGGACACTAAACTGCCATGGGCTACATCTGTGAAGGGGTGAACAAGAATTTTTACAAATGGAAATCTGATTACAAAAATTCAGTGTTCCCTAGATGAGAAGAGATAAAAAGAAAGTAATACAAGATAGCAGACATAAAGGAGACTGAATAGAAGAAAAGGAAAATCAGTAAAAAGAAAACTAAAGCCAACTCCAGAGAAAAAAAGACAGTTATTAACACTAAGATAAAAGAAGTAGTTAAAATTATATATTTGCTTAATATTATTTGTAATATTTATATGGTTATGACATTGAAAAAAACAATTACTCAAATATTATGTTCAAGGAATTGAGGAATGGGAAACACTAAATAATAAAAAGCCAATTAATTATTTTTAATTGACATATTAAAAACTAGTTGTTTAAAAGTATGTCATTTAGAAAGATAGTTGCAAATTACAGAGAAATCAGAAGATTCAAGAATGACTACTAGCTGGGCTCAGTGGCAAATGCCTGTAATCCCAGCACTCGGGAGGCAGGTAGATCTCTGTGAGTTCAAGGCCAGCCTGGTCTACAAAGTGAGTCTAGGACAGCCAAGGCTACACAGAGAAACCCTCTCTTGAAAAAACAAAAACAGAACAAAATGTAGAAATGTTTCATGATAGTGTATGGGCACTGTCATATATATGCCTTAAAGTTTCTATTTAAATAAAACAGTAATTACATCTCCCATGAACAAACAAAATGCACCAACCCAGGACCTAGACCCCCTGCTCACATGTAGCCTAATAACAGCTCAGCCTCCATGTGGGTTTCCTAAGAAGGGGAGCAGGAGCAGTCTCTGACATGGACTCTATTGCTTGCTCTTTGATCACTTCTCCCTGGAGCGGGGACATTGCCAGGCCACAGAGGAAGAGGATACAAGCAGTCCTAATGAGACTTGATAAGCCGGGGTCAGATGGTAGGGGAAGAGGGCTCCCCATTTCTGAGGACTAGGGGAGGAGGACGGGGGAAAGAGGGAGGAGACGAGGGTGTAGGTTACAATCGGGATGTAAAATGAATAAAGTATAAAAAAATAAATAAAAACTAATAAAAATTGAAAAAAGCAAAAAAGAAATTAAGAAAAGGAAATTAATATTGTGATAAATGTTTTGTAAGACACAAAGTAGTGCTATCTAAGTGAGCAAAGCATAGCCAGTATGGAGGTCTTACAGCATATTATCTTTAACCTGATAGGAACATGAGTATAGTCCATTTAATCTTTGTACATAATACAAGCTGTAACACTTCTATTATGCCATCCTTATAGAGGATATTAGATTCTATACACTTTCCATCCTTCTATCACATCAGCAAGTTGCATAGAAAGATTAGATAATGAGCGGCTGGGCTTGTAGCTAAATGGTAAAGTGCATAACTAGCACATGCAGGCCCTGGGCTTCATCTCCAGCACAAGAAAACACAAAATTAAAACTACAATGGGTATTTTAGCTTTATGCTCTAAGAGTTCTTATATTTTCAGTCTTATTGCCATAGTACCTGTATTTGAAAATGGATTGGGAATATACATTATACAACAGTGGTGGGATGCTAGAGGTAAACAAATATAGATGTGAGCCAGCAATGTCATTAGCTATACCTTCTTAGGCAAGTTAGTTAATGGCCTGTCCTTGTACATTTGATTACAGAAGGAAAATAGCAGCAGGTTACTTTAAGAAACAGGTGCATCTGAGCAAGGGGTCTAGGTCCTCTCCATGCATGGTCTTTGACTGGAGTATTGGTCTGCAAAGACCCCTGGGCCCAGATTTTTTGGCTCTGTTGTTCTCCTTGTGGAGCTCCTGTCCCCTCCAGGTCTTTCTCTCTCTCCTTTCTTTCATAAGATTCCCTGCACTCTGCCCAAAGTTTGGGCTATGAGTCTCAGCCTCGCTTCGAAACCTCGATCAGTAGAGTCCTCTGTGGAAGGCTCCTGTTTTGTTCCTGTCTTCTCCTACTTTAAATGTATATCTTGTTTGCCCTTTTGAATAAGGATTGAGCATCTTTCCTAGGGTCCTCCTTCTTGCTTAGCTTCTTTAGGAGTACAGATTTCAGTATGTTTAGCCTATACTTACTAGAAGGCAAGGAGAACCTCCCTACCAGTGGAGGAGGAGAGGTAGAGGGGGAGAAGAGGGAAGGAGGGTGGGACTGGGAGGAAACAAGAGAAGGGCCTACAGCAAAGATACAAAGTAAATAAATTGTAATAAATAATAAATTAATTAAATAAAAAAGAAACAGGTGAATCGAGTACTTAACATTTCAATACAAAGCATTGTAAACAGAGGTGCCCAAAAAGCACTATCTATTCCCCTAATTTCCCATGGATCTGTTTCAGTCATTCTACAACTACAGAGGTTAGCTTTTGATTTGATTTGATTTTTTACAATGAAACAGCCCAACATCTGATAGTTCTTTTTCTTTAGGAAAGAAAGGAAAAGAGAAGTATCAGTAATGTAAGCAAATATAACAGATTAAAATTCCAACTCTGTACCTGTTTTTAGGAATGTTACTCCCAGAGGAAAACTTCTCAGGTGCTTTGTAGGAAAACATTCTCTCCAAATTCAACTATTTTTCCACAAAAAAAGTCCATTAACAAAAAAGAAATTACAAAAACATTAAATACAAAGAAAGTAAGATTGAAATACTTTATACTAACAATTTTCCCTCAAGCAACAACTCTTCAAATAAATAAGCTGAAAATGAAAATAAGTTGTTGAGTCACCTTTTAAGACTTTAAAGACAGTTTAAAAAGTAAAGGATCCAAAGAATGTCCTGAGACACAAAAGCCTAAGATACAAAGGTGATACATCTCCACATCAACATATCAACACTCTTAACAAGGAGGGAGGGTGGGATTGGGATGGGATGGAGGAGGGGCTACAGCTGGGATACAAAGTGAATAAACTGTAACTAATGAAAAAATGAAAAAAAAAATAAAATAAAATGAATTGGAAATAAAAGAGAGAAATGTTATAGTAGGAGACTTAATTCACCATTAGCCCATCACCATGTTCTAATTAGCTAAAGACAGGCTTGCATAAGGAACCTGTAGTAGTTACTAAAACACTAACAAAACAAACAAACAAAAAAATATATATATAAATATACACACATACATTCATTTGCAGATGGAATGGGTGTATATGGAAATATTTAGGAATCAAATTTATTTATTAATTATGTATTATAATATATTAAAAGCCTCAAGACAAATAATTTATAAAATAAGCTTAAAAAATAAATTGCTTTTTGAAATATTTTTACTTATTGCTCAAGAAATCATATATCATATTTTTATTCTAGTCATACAATTTCTCTTTGTAGTTCATGATTTCTATATGTGCCATTCTTATTACTAGTAGCAATGCAAACGTAAAACTTTTATTTATTTATTTTTTTCTAGTTACAAAAGATTTTATTCATTGAAAATTACTTCCAATTCTTCTTTTCCACTGGCCCTGGAAAAAACACCATGGTCTTCTATCCTGGGTCTTTTTTTTAATTTTAATTTTTATTAATGACAATTTATTCACTTTGTATCCTCCTGTAGCTTTCTCCCTCCTCCCCTCCCAATCTCACCCACCCTCCCCCTTCTCCACCCACGCCCCTCCCCAAGTCCACTGATAGGGAAGGTCTTCCTCCCCTTCCCTCTGATCCTAGTCTATCAGGTCTCATCAGGAGTGGCTGCATGTCTTCCTCTGTGGCCTGGTAAGGCTGCTCCCCCCTCAGGGAGAGGTGATCAACGAGCAGGCCAATCAGATTATGTCAGAGGCAGTCCCTCTTCCCATTACTATGGAACCCACTTGACAACTGAGCTGCCTAGGGCTACATCTGTGCAGGGTTTCTAGGTTATCTCCATGCATGGCCCTTGATTGCAGTATCAATCTCAGGAAAGACCCCTGTGCCCAGATTTTTTGGTTCTGTTGTTCCTGTCCTCTCCAGGTCTTACTCTTTCCCACAAATGTAAAACTTTAAAGGAGTTGCCTCCATGACCAGTGAGATAATAAGAGTCACCCCTTGGAAACAAACCTGCTCTGGAGTTAATCCAACTGGTTTTTGAGTAGAGGAATGTTGCTTCGTTTCTGATGATACGTGATTGGAACTGAAAAACAGTAAAGTTGAAATACCTCCTAAATTAACATGTAATCACCTGACTTATGAGTCACCACATTACTCTCAGAGAAGCAGAGATTATATTCCTTTTAAGAATTGATATTTAAAACGAATAAATTCTAATTAATAAAAAAATTAATTAAAAAAGAATTGATATTAAAAACAGATTTCCCAGAAAAGAGGTTTCAAAGAAAAAAAAAAAAAAAAAAGGCAGCAAGCATATTCACTTCCTCTGCCTACAGTAGAGAGGTATGCGTCACTGATTCTGTAGCATCATCCCCACGCTGTTTAAGTAATAGTCAAGAAGTTTGCTTACTCTTTTATTCTATATGGCCACAAGGTGACTGTAATTCATATATATTCATGTATTCACATCAATACAATAGCAGAATGTACAAAAGCACATAAATCTTGAGAATATACTTTCAAATCCTTTTCATATTTGTACCACATTGTATTGCACAGTATAAGCTGTGAAAAGTAAATTCAAGCCAGGCAGTGGTGGCGCATGCCTTTAATCCCAGCACTTGGGAGGCAGAGGCAGGTGGATCTCTGTGAGATGTCACCGTGGTCTGTAGAAAAAGTTCAGGGTGGCTAGGGATATGCTGAGAAACCCTGTCTCTAGAAACTAAAAAGGTTAAAAGAAGCATAAAACAGAGGATTTCCCCAAGCCTGTGTTCTTCTGTAAGGAACACTTCCTTAGCTGTATGGCGGAAAGCAGCTTTGTACATATTGCAGTCAGACCCCTAATACAAGCCAGGAAAGTGTTCTATAATTTACCCTTCCCAGTGGCTCCCTTCTACCTTTCACCCAAGTGAAACACTGATTTTACCTGTACATGTCAATAACCTGCTGGAATTTGAATCATTTAAGAAAAACCAAAAGTTAATGGGGGTTGGGAGAGAAAGCGGAAAAAGAACCTTGGCATCTGACCCGTCCTCGGACACATGTCTTCATTAACTTGTAGGATAAGGCTTGGAGGAGACTGCAACTCAGCTTCAGCAAGCCATTTTCTACCCTGTCAAAAGCAAGAAGAATCTTTTTTTTTCTGTCTATTTTTTTGCATTTTAATTAATTATTATTATTTATTACAATTTATTCACTATGTATCCCAGCTGTATTCACCTCCCTTGTCCCCTCCCCACCCCCCTCTTCTCTTCCCATACCCCTCCCCTAGTCCACTGATTGGGGAGGACCTCCTCCCCTTCCATCTGACCCTAGCCTATCAGGTCTCCTCAGGACTGGCTGCATTGTCTTCCTCTGTGGCTTGGTTAAGGCTGCTCCCCCTCAGGCGGAGGTGATCAAAGAGCAGGCCACTGAGTTCATGTCAGAGACCTTCCTTGTTCCCATTACTAGGTACCCTCTTGGAGACTGAGTCTATCTTAATACACAGGAGGAAGAAGTGTGTTGTAAAGATAGATCTCTGTTCTCTTTACCTTTTTTGTGAGGGAGCAAGTCTTTATAAATTTGTTTTGCGTGGGCACTTCTACCAAGAGTCCTTCAGCTATGAGATGGTGAGAAAGAGACTTCCACCAACTTTCTGCTTGCTCCTTGCCAGTGCCAAAAAGCCTGTGACGGCGGTATTTATCTGGAAGTCGCTGAGAATTCTGAAATCAGAAATAAAGCATCTAAAAATGCTTGCTCAAATAAACAGGCCAAAAAAAGCAAAAGCCTACCTAGCAATTTTTTTGGGTTTAAAAGCAAATTTCGCTTTTAAGCCTCTCAGGTTTTTATGCTCTACCTTTTGGTTCTGAATACTCAATGTAAAATGGAAATAGTATTCTGCCTTAAATATAGAAAAACCCTCACATAATTCAGATGTATTTCCCAGTAGATAGGTTTGGATATACATCTGGAATATTTCACCTTTGCTATTACAATTCTGATTAACAACTTTTACAAATGATCACAACTACAGCTCCATTCTAGAACATGGGTGATAAGAGAAAATGTGACCTGGTAGTTGTGGGACAATCCATTGGATCCCATGCATGGTTAGGTCTCACTGTGCATTAGAGTTTACTTAACTACTGATCACTTGAGACAGCGAAAACAGTGCATGCTAAATAGCTGATGTTAGAGTATGACCACTTCTGAGAGATGGTAGAATTCTTAAAGGGGCGCTTTAATCATTAAGTCCTAGAAACATTAGGAAGCTGCCATATGCATGGTTTTGACATATGCCATATGTCTTCCTATGACAGGGAAGAGTCTGCCCACCTCTACTCTCTATGAAGCACTCTTGTGCTCACTTCATCCTCCTACAGCCTAGCTCATACATTCTACACATCCAACTACCTTAAACATGCATGGTGGCAAACGTCACACAGCATCATAGAAAACTTGTGCACGATATAGCTGAGATGATTATGACAGACCAAAATTCATCTCTCATTGTAACCTCCATCTACTGTGCCCTCTACTACAAAAACTGGAAAGTCATGAACATGTTCCTGGAACTCTCTTTTGTCCAGAATTATGACCGTGACTTAAATTCTGTTAAGCAGATGTTATCTGCAGGACAAGTACAAGCAAGATGTGAGGCAAAGGCTACTCCTCTGCAATATGTGTGACCATGCATGATTACAGAGGGTCATGCATGATTGTGACCCAAGCAGTGTTGTGATCTGAATGTAAATACGGTGTTCACAGGCTCATGTATTTGGAAAACTGGTCGTCAGGTTGAGATACTCTTTTGAGAGGCTGTGGAGCCTTTGGTGATGGAGGCATGGCCAGAAATCACTGGTGACAGATCTCTGAGAGTTACAGACTGCCTCTACTTCCCGTTTGAGTTCTCTGCTTCCTATCAGCTACCATGACATGGCAGGCTGCAAGTTCCCAGTGCTCTTCCCAAACTCTTCCTCCCGTGACATGAGAGACTACAGCCTGTGAACTATGATCCAAAACAAACGTCTCCTTTAAGTTACTTCTGTCAGGCAGATCTGGTCATCACGATGAGAAAAGGATGCTAACCCTCATTGTGGGTCAATTTGAATAAAGTTTTTGAAGTCAAATGCATGCCAGGTAAAGGTGTACACACTAATCCACAATATGGAGACTACAACTATTAGAGTGCACTGTAATTGACCCTGAGGAAAGAATGCATTTCAGTTGTCCATGCCAAACAAATAGTCTAAACATGTAAAATATGTTATTTTGTTTAACTATAGCAACCATTTTAATATACATGTAGTCCATAATATTCTTTACTAGTATGCAACAAGTTTTCCCTGACTTGCCATGAACAGCTACTGGGGCTTTGTGGTAGAAGACTCTATTGTTTACAAATAATACCAAAGTAGTAACTTGCCTAACTAGCATTACTAGCTCTCTTGACATTAGAGTTATTCTAGCCCTTTTTCTTCCTACGCAGAAAAAAAAAAAAAAAACCTAAAGTGAATGTGCACATTTACTGGGATGAAGTAATGAGGCTTTCCCTAATTAGTAGAAAGTACTTCTTCCCTTTATGATCAATTATCATTGTGACTACTGTGTACTATGTAAATAAATTTATATAACATGTTCCCATGGTAACCACCAGGCAAAGAATGAAACCTATTTATTCTTTGATGTTTTATATCTTTTTATTTTTCAAAAGAATCATTTTCCTAGTACAACTAGAAACTAGCTAGCTACCCAATCCAGGTCCTCTGCAAGAGTAGCTCTTAACCACTAAGCCATCTCTCCAGTCCCACAGTCAAACTTTGGAAAAATATTGAATGATGTCATACTCTGGGCAAGACATCCTCGTTAACTGCCTAAGTGTTCTAGTTAATTTAAATTTCCAAGTTATCCACCGAATAACCAAAACTTCTTAATGAGAAAGTCATCACTGAGAATATAATATCTATTTTGCCATTTTTAGCTCTGAGAACCTATATATAGTTCCATGGAATGTAATCTTGAACAAGGATATTTTCACATTGCTCTTTTCCTTTAAAAATCAACTTGAAAAATAAGGTCCAATAAATTGACATATTACAGAGTGCTGAACCCAAGAACTGATGAGCAAAAAAGCTAGAATAAAGACAACTAGTGGTCAGGGCATCCACCCAAAGGATGAGTTTCTATGGACGTAAACCTTTGTAATAACAATAGAAAATAGGGAAATAAAAACCTGCCACTTCTCCAAATAAACTTCTTCAAAAATCAATTCGCTTTTTGTAGTAAACCTTTTTTCTTGCTGGGAATGACATTATCTTTCATCACTCTTCCTGCTTTCTATATCCAAATGCCTCCATCAACTATCTTCCCCCCACACCTACCGAATCCCCCACAAAGCAGAAGGTTCCAATGACAACCTCACAAACCATCCTGATTCTCCATGTGTGGTCTTTCTTAACTTCAGTCACAGTTCCCAACCATCCACAAGTCCTGTGTTGCTTTCCGTCCTAGGTTACACTTATTTCTTCCCAAGTAACACCGACTACACTAGATGCTAACGATGCTAACACGCTCACCCAGGTCAGCACTTCATCCTCTAGAAAGTAAATGTACTGCCTTACGGAAAAACAGATGTTCACTAACTCAAGAAAACTAACGATGGGGGGTGTGAAAGAAGACATCCAATGTCTACCTCTGGTGTTCACACACACACACACACACATACACACACACAGCTTAAAATATTGCTTAGGTGGTACCTAATTCTGTGGTTATGATAAGAATTAGCACTTAGATAAGGTGTTTAGGAAGATGTTACTCTTGGCATGCAAATGATCAACGTGTTTTTCTTTAAATTATGGCCATTGACTATATTATTACATGTTAGAGCCTTGTCAAAGATTTTTACATGGTGAACTGTTTAGTCAGTTAAAGCAAAGTTTTTTAGACAATATTGGTTACTTTATAATTAGATGCATTAAAACAAAATTTTAAACTCCACTTTACAAATTTACAGATATTCTGAGTAACTGTTTATATTTAGAAAAATGTGTAGGACAGAATCAAGCACTACTGAAACTGTACTTATGTTTACAAAATTCATCTCTTCAAAATAACTCTAAAAACAGTTTGATGTATCACCTTACATCTCAAAATTACATACAAAGGTATTAACTTGTCCTAAATTGGTTAAGGGGAAAACTTGCTTAGTTCTCAAGAGAATTACAGTTATAATTTTTCAATAATATCCCAAAAGATATCAAGATCACTGAAAGCAAGGACAGGTAACTTGCCTTATTTTCACTATCTTTAGCATCTACATATTTTCATTAAGTGAGACTTTTTCTAAAAACCTTATACTTTTAGCTAGCAAGGGTAGTATAAAGTTTCAGTAAGGACGAGCTGCTTAATTTGAGGACTCCCAGAAGACACTGTCAGTATAAGAGGTCTGACTTGGTTTTCAAATAATAAGTGAAACCTGATCCCTCTTGTGACCACTTGAAGTTTGTCTAGAAACACTTATTTATTGATATTGGATATAGCTGGATGGCAGCAAATCAAAACAAGGATACTTTTCATAAATTAAATACTCACATTGGATACAAGGATTTTAAAGTTGGCAAAGATAGAAAATAAACATATAAATTTCAATTACATTTGAGCTGTCCTGAAGAGCTGATAAAAATTAAAATTCCCTACTCAGTAATTCTATTGTTAAAATTTTAAGCATCTTTGCCATTTAAAACAAAAAATTTAAACCCCATTATCTTAAAAGCATTAACATTTGAAAGGGTAATACAAGTTTTCAACATTTTACTAAAAATATTTCACACCTAATTCCATAGCTTAAGCAAAAGAAGAAAACATTTGCATGAAGCATTTGATGCTTCTGAACAAGCAAACAACACTTATGTTAATGATTGTTAAATTCTATGAACAAAATAAGCATTTACCCTCTACTATACAGCATATTTTTTAATAAGAAGATATATCTGTAAAGTATCCTGCCTTCTACTCTTGGTTTATTTACACTCTTAATTCAGAAATAAAATTACCATATAAACAGAAGGACTACAGAAAATCAGCTCTGCAAGCATATCTGTGCCTGACATTTGCCAATATACTGAGAGCAAATGGATCACTCAAAACAGAAAGTAGTTCAATTAAACTTGGCTGCTCACAGGTAAAGCACCCGAACACCAGCGGAAGAAAGAACATGCTGCTGTGTACTACTGCTGAATGAAGCCATTTATAAAATAATCTCTGAAACTAAAGTTTTCTGCAAAGAATATAACCATATCTGGGCATCAGAAGACACAATTTTGTTCTACCAGTCCCTTGACACAATGAAGTTTACTTTCCTTAATTATCCTAAGAAACACCAATATAGGGATTAATGCAAGTGCAATGTGATAAGCCAATACACTTCGTCCAGCCGGCAGTGCACACCTGACCACCAGCTTACAGTAGAGCAAAAGAGCATCTGATGTGATACAAGGTTTGTGCAAGAAAATAACTGCAGGGTTAAAAGGTGGACCTCAAGGCATCTCTGCATTGCCAGTAAGCCAGAGATATAATCACACAGTGAAAATCACTGTCAGGAACTGTCACAGGAGTCATTACAGACACACTTACAGATCCTCGGAGAAATAAAATTGGAGTCCCAATTCCAAACTTCCCCTGTAGAATGTCCACGGCAGATAGTAGCTGGAATGCTTGTGAACCTAGGTCTTGGGATGTGTCCTCTGAGATGTTAGCGGAAGAGCAATGATTCAATCTGAAGAAAAGTAATAGTATACTAAGAAAACACAGACAAAGCATGTTCCTTTAGAAACAAAAAGATACAACCAGGAACCATGTAAAATATTTCAAATGTGTCCAACACTTCAAAAACTACAAGTAAAGTTTATTACAATCAAGAGCATGAGCATTATCTGACACCTGAGACACAGATCATCATGGAACATCACCAACAGTGTTTCCTCATGGTAGCCAGAAGCTAAGTTTCATGGGGTTGCCCAGAAGACATGCAGGGAAGAGGAGCTGCAGGATCCGGCTAGGGCAGCTCCACATGGCCAGTTATCTAAATACTCAATTCTGTGGTATGTTACACCAGAAAGGAGGATTAATTAAAAAAAAAAAATTAAGTTAAAAAAATTTCTATGCAGTAACATGCTAGTTTGAACCCTGGTAATTTAAAATACAACATGGAGCTTATAAACTTGTCTTGTTGGTACATTTAGGAGTTAAATTCCTTAGCTATCCTCCAAGTAGTTGCAAAATTATCATCAATGTAAATGATAATTTTTTTTTTTTTTTGCTTGAGAACAAAAGAAGTCCTTGGAGACTATCAACTAATACATTTCAATTACCAAACTCCACTACTTTCTATATCACAGATATCTTTAAAACAGCAGTAAGAATGCATTCAATATTCCGGATAATACTATCATGTTTGGATTTTAAAAAACTGCTTAGGTTTATTCTCCCACTAACCTCCTGAGCAGGGATGCTTTAGTGGACTTTCTCCAGAGTATTTAAAGTTAGCACGTTGCCATAAGGCAGGACCATACAGTTTCTTACCACTTTAAATAAAGATTATTGTGGCTATCACTAATTTCTAAAACTTTTTAAATTTCTATACCTAACAATGCTGCTTCTGCCATAGAGCTACTGCACCTAGAGACAACTAACTCAAAAAGGTACCATTTGTGTTAATTTACGGTATAACAAACTGCACATATCCCTATGCACACATTCATCAAACCTTCATCACAGTCAAGACCCAGTGACCGCACTGCTTTCAAACCCACTCGCCCTGCCTTCAAGCTCTGCCAGCAGCTGATCTTCCTTAGAGTTCTATCTTTCAGAGGATATGCATGCATATGAAACCATACTATAGACCGGGGGCTTTTTCCTCACTTAAATATTTGCTAAAATTTGTCTTTGAAGCTCTGTGGGCTAGAGAGTCTTCTTTTCCGGGGTTTTAAAGGAAGAATTCAATCCCTATAATGGTTGGATGAGTATTCTGGTTATGCTTCACCTGAGCATTGTCATTAGAGGACATTAAGCTCCCTTAGATCTGTATTATTGAGTTTCCATTAACTGGCTTACTCAGAGCATCCTCTTTTCCCCTTTACCCTGAGGACTCTGAGGTCTGCAGTAAAATTCTCTTTGATTTGATGTTGGTAACCAGTGTTCCCCTTTTTTTCTTGTCAGTCTTGTAAAATGATGAACCCCTGAATTCAATGACTTTCCTCTATTGGCTTTGTTTTTCCATGCCATTATTTTATGCACCTAATCTTTATTCTTCCTTTCCTGTTCATTTTCCTCTTATTTGCCTGTTTCTTAAACTGAATGCTTCATTATGTTTGTAGTCTTCAGTATTGTATTTAACACTATAAACTATCTTTGCAGAACCATACTAGCTGTATCCCAGACATTTCATAGTCTTATTCATCAGTTTAAAACATTCTCTAACTTGCTGTAAGCCTTTGACTCACTGCTTATTTGAAGTATATTGCTTTGTTTCTAAGGGTTTAGAGAAAAGGGTTTCCCTTTTCTTCTCACTTCTTTCTAGCTTGACTCCTTTAAAGCAAAAAATATATGTTATCCAAATAGAATATTTCTTCATTTGTCAGGGTTTGTTTTATGACTCAGGAAAACACAGGTGCATAAGTATTCTAGCTGCCCTTGGAAAGAATGGGTGAAATGCTGTCAGGAAATTAATTGGACCTGGTTTGCTGACAGTCCTCTTCATTCCTCCATCTCCTCATAGATCTAGTAGGGTTTTGTTTAGGGGCTTTAGGGTGGGTCATGGTTGTTGTTCAGTCTTACTTTTGCTTTGTGTGTCAGTATCTTAACACACATTCTTACTCTTGGACCTAGGCTCGTCTTGAAGTCACTTGCAGAGCAGTCTGGCCTCAGAGTCCTGACCTTCCTGTCTGGACCTCTGAATCTTGCCACTTGAGGCATCCCGTCACTTCCAGCATCCCTTACTCACTTTGTTCATTAATTCTATTGGTGACTATAGGCAGACATTGATGTCACCAAATACACTTGCGGCTTTCTCTTCCACCTTTTAGTTCTGTAGGTTCTCATGTGACGTCCATGCGCATTTGGGATTATGTCTTCTCTTCTGGGTTGTATGGCTCACATGTCAAAGTGGTTATGCTATGGGGCTTAGTCGCTTGGCCAGACAATAATCTAGATGCGAATATTTTTTATAGATATGAATACTATTTATGATCAGAAGGCTTTAAATACAGAAATTACACTCAATAATTATCCTCTTTGAGTTCAAAGCCTTAGCAAAAACAGGATTGCTGGACAAGGAATTCTGTTTCAAAATTGTAACATCAGCTCTTACCTGATGTAGTGTCCAGACACCATTGGCCTACCCTACATGATTTTAGACTTATCAACAATGTCCATCACTTCACCCACTTCTTCTCTGTTCCTTCCAGCTTCAACCCTCCTCTCTTTAGCTCTATCCTTGGTGACATTTCTCTAAAAACTTTGATACTTTTGCATTGTTCAGTGTCTTTCTCTATCCTTGATAATATGGTTTGCCCCAAAGTCCCCACTGCCAAATACTAAAATAGTGACTTAAGATTTCTTTTGATTGGTGTTTTCACAGTATTTTTAATTAACTAATTAATTAATTGTTACAATTTATTCACTTTGTACACCGGCTGTTGACCATCCCTCATCTCCTCCCAGTCCCATCCTCTTCTCCCCTTATAATCCTCCCCTAGTCCACTAATGGGGGGGGGGGATGTCCTCCTCCTCCCCTACTATCTGACCCTAGCCTATCAGATCTTATCATGACTGGCTGCATCCTCTTCTTCTGTGGCCTGGCAAGGCTGCCCCCTCAGGTGAAGGTGATCAAAGAGCCGGCCATGGAGTCCATGTCAGAGACAGACCCTGCTTTACTTACTAGGGAACCCACATGGAGACTGAGCTGCCTATGGTCTACATCTGGGCAGGGGGACTATGTCACCTCTGTACATGTCCCCTTGCTGATTCATCAGTCCCTGCAGGACCCCTGGGCTTAGATTTTTTTGGCTCTGTTGGTCTCCTTGTGGAGCTCCTGACATCTCCAGCTCTTTCTATCTCCCCCTTCTTCCATAAGAGTCCCTGAACTCTGCTCAAAGTTTGGCTATGAGTCTCAGCATCTGTTTTGATACCATGCTGGGTAGAGTCTTTCAGAGGCCCTCTGTGGAAGGCTCCTATCATGTTCCCTGTCTTCTCCCACTTCTGATGTCTATACTGTTTGCCTTCTAAAATAAGGATTAAACATCTTCCCTAGGGTCTTCCTTGTTGTTTAGCTTCTATAGGCCTATATATTTTAGTATGTTTATCCCATATTAGATGGCTAATATCAACTTATAAGTGATACAAGTAGGTGTTTTCACAGTATTTCATATTTCATTATATTTTTTACTTATCTGTATAATTTTACTTCCCCTTAGGAGAAAAATCAGATAAAGTGCTTTTAACACAATTTTGATAATTTATGGATTAATGAGTAAAAGGCTTAAATAGCCTTTCTCAAGGCTATTTATAATTAAAAGCAACTGTTGACTAGCTAGGCCTACCATTTTATGACCTTATCACATAAAGGTAAACCTCTTTACTTCACTTTATTTTAAATAAAGTAACTATGTCATTTTAAAGAACTAAACTACTTATCATCCAACAAAAATTTAATGAAGCATGCATGGTCTGAAGAGAAAGAGAAATAACAGTTTCTAGAATGTTCATCAAGAAGAAATTTTTACCTGGGCCTGCAATTATCACAGCATTTTTCAGTTCCCATAATGTCCAAGGAGGCCTTTTGTAGTTGTTTGTCCTCAAAATGGGACAAGATGATTCTGATAAAGCAAAAATTTTAAATTAAAGAACAAATATAGACATGTTAAACCCACCACCCAAAATGAAGTACCATTACTGTATTTATTTGGGACCTCATTATGTCATACCAATTTATTTAAACACAAATAAACCTGCGCTAAAATTACTGTATACTGCATGTATACAGTAAATATTCTTTTAAAATACTTTAAATTAAAATTTTAAAAGTTCCATCTAAAGGTCTATGCTTCTAATTAGTAAAAACAAATAATACATACTGTCGCCTACATTGACTGGAGTGAAGATATTTTTCCATCTTTACCATCATCTTTAATTTATATAACCGGAACTTTTCATTTTGTATCTCAATAAGGTGATGCCTGCCAATTGAAAATCACAAGAATATTTAAAATCATACTTTCAATTTTGTTATTTTAATAGCCTCCCCCTCAAAATCCCCACTGTATCACAGTAAAGAATATTTCTATCTCACAAAATGGCCTACATTCTTCCCAATCATGCCTCTGACAAGAGAGTTCCATCAATAACTTTGAAGGTTTGATCTCATCCATGTTCATTTCATTTGAGAAAAAGAAACTCAATAAAATATTTATTATTTTATTCTTCTTTTACTACTATTAAATGAGTTAAATACAATATTTCACAAAAAACAAATTTTAACAATTCTGAAATCATTAACATTCAGAGAAATTAGAAATTAAGAAATTTAGAGAAGTTAGTAAAAAATTTATTATATTGAGATTATTCTCCAGATTGTTCTCTTTGAAACAAAAGATAGCAGTAAAATTATAAATATAGTAAATACAGTAAATATATCACTTAGATACTGCCTGTATTATGGTTCTGCAGTAAACAATATAAAATCACACAATACAGAAATATAAAATTACATAATTTTATATATAATTATGTGACTGAGGTCATGGCTCTACGTATGCTTGTCCAGCATGAGTGAGGCCCAGATTTGATAACCAGTATCACAAAATTGACAAATAAACATTTGTTAGTTAAAATCATTGCATCATCAGTTAGACATGTTTCTTTTCTTATTACAGAATGTAATAAGATAGACTAAAATAGACTAAACTCTTATTAATCACAGCAATCCTTCTGGCTGAGACCTATCAACCCATTGTTTTTTTTTTCTAGAAGTTCATAATTGTGATGGTACAAATTCATCCTCAATCCTTGCTCTATTCCGTTTATTCTAATCCTATAGTTTTAGGCCCTTTGTCACTGATAAAAAGAACAATCTATCTGTACCAAAAGCTCAAGGATTTGATCCTCTTCACCCACTAACTCAGCACCTGAGAGTCACTAACCCCAGATTAAACCCCAATCAGGATGATAGTGGTTGAATCTGCACTGAACATGTTGAGACATTTTTCTTGTCATTATTCTTTAAACATTACAGTATAAATTTGCACATCATTTACTTTGTAACAGATGTTATATGTAAGCTAGAGAGAAAGTATGTAGGAGAGTACACAGCCTGTAGACAAATACTATGCTGTTTTGTATAAGGGCCTCGAGCATAATGGATGTTTTTTTTTCTCTTAAGGGTCCCAGAACCATTCACCATGGGTACTAAGTGACGAGTGTATGGGTCTTCTGGCACCACTAACTGATCAATCTTAATGAGATAAAACACTTAGCATATCTTTCTTACCACATAAACCAGAACTATCTCTCTTGATGAGCTTGCATTATAAAACCCAGGCCTATAGTGTTTCCAGCACATTAGTGTAATGCACAAAGAAAGTAAGACCTGGTATTAACCAAGTGATATTTGATATATTCCAACATTAATGGTAGCTTGCATCAATGTGTTCTGTCCAACTTACTTCAAATTAGTTTTTAAAACGCTTGATAGACTCTGTTGCCTGGCCTGGAAATGGCTCAGTGGTTAAGAATGCTTGCTTACAGGAGACCAGAGTTCAGCTCTACATGTTATAAAATAAAATACACTATTTCTAGAAAGAGCTTAGATTTTATAACAACCGTTTTTACTTATCTAAACCTACTCTTTAGCTACCACTTCTTGAAGGAAATCTTACATGACTTTTCAAGTAGGTAAACAGCACTCTCTACTCTAAGCAACTTTCCTTCATACCACTTAAAATAGCATTTATCAAAGGTATTTGGGCCAGAAGTGGTAGTGTACACCTTAATTCCAGCATTCCAGGGGTAGAGGGATATTTGTAAATTCAAGGCCAGGTTGATCTACATTCCAGGCCAGAGAACACTACAGAATGAGACTCTGTCTTAAACAAACAACAGCAAAGACACATTCATATGATCACTGAAAGCATTTAATAATAGACATTTCCAAATGCAGAATGAGAAAGTAAAAAGAACACTGTGCATACATAATATGAAGTTCTTGAGTTGAGATCGCCCATTCCACCTACACTCCGAGTTCTACAGAAGCAGGCACTGTTACTCACCTGTGTCCTTAGCACTAGCGTGGTTCTGAGAACATGGCATTTACTCACCACCTTGAGGAATGATGGAGACGGACAACAGCTGCAGAGGCTTAAGAATCATTTAAGTGAACTGAACTAATATGGCTACTGAAGATCCTAACTTACTCATCAACCTGGAGGAACATTTGAAAAGTCCCTTATGTTGGCAGCTCACTGTTTGAGCTGTACTGATTCCTTTCCCTGGCTCCCCATGGATAAACTGGTAAATATTGCCCCTAAGATTTTGCAAGTTGAAGCTGTAATTTCTAATACAATCGGACAGAACTTAACTGACAATTTACTTAGCATTTAAGTGAGGTTTAACTGAATTTAAACCATGAACAGTTATTGTCTTATGACAGCACCCTGTCAATACACTGTCAACAAGGCAGGGTCAACAAGGCCATTTTCAGTCTGTGAGCAATGGCATGTACTTGTGAAACTAATCATGGAAAATAATAAAGAGAGTTAATGAAGAACTGGACACATCTTTTATAATAACCACCATTATAGCACCAGAAGAAAAAATGAGCAATACTACACGGTATGTAGTTAAATAAAGGTGGAGCCATATCACCGAGGATTTAAAGTGCGGGAACTGCTCATTGCTATATGGGACAGTGTGCCCTAAGATCCACGTCAAACGTCCAAGGAAAGTCCCAATCTTGTGAACTCTGCACCTAACTGGACATTGGTAGAAGTGGATCATCAGGAGTCCTGTGTGACAAGACTCACCACAAATGCTCTTCATGATGTTCTATTAGTTTTGCTCATTTTTCAGTGGCGACCTTTAGATACACGCAGAGATCATTTGAAATTTGGGACACTCCATCAAATACTTTGTTGGGAAGAAAAAGAGAAATTTGTAAGGTAAAAGCAATAAGCGTTCTTACCTAGTTAAGTTAAAGTCTGCCGGAGCCCAGAGTAAGTGACAAGAACTCTGAAGTCCATCACGGCCAGCTCTGCCGATTTCCTGGTAATAGGACTCCATTTCCTTAGGAGCGCCATAATGAATAACTTTGCGAATGTCAGCTTTATTAATGCCCATTCCAAAAGCTATGGTAGCCACAACACACTGAGGATGAACAGCAACACAGCATAAGCATCACATTTCAACATAACTGAAACTTAAGAAATAAAACAGCTTACTCGTAAAACTGAATTAAATATGTTACTTACAGACCGAAAGATTATTTATCTAAATATAAGTTAAATACTTATAAATCATAAAATGTGACTTTTGTTCATCTCTATAAAAAGTACCAAATAAAGCAGTTTCTCAGGATACCCAAAGCTACAAGTAACAGTTTCTAAAGTAAGTAAAACTTTTGTATTATTGAGTTTCAAGTGTCCTCCCCTGACAGCAGAATGTCTTACTCTAAGAATTATATCATTCATGATTGTAGAGTGAAATACAGTTAATGCTGAATATTAAAGATGTGTATAATACTATAGGTATAAGGTTATTGTATCAAATGCTGATTTCTGAACCCCTCAAATCTGGTTGCAATCCTTGTTCTGAGAATCTCCTGTCTCAATGTTGTGTAAACACTGCTCTCCAATTGTCCCCTGATATGTCAATAAAGCAGCTTATAGCCAATCGCTGAGCAGAGGTGAGAATTGGGTTGGACTTCCTGCTACCCACAAAAGGAAGAATTAGTGGAGGAGGTAGGAGATTCAGCCAATGGGCAGATGTCCAGGAGAAACAAGGAGAGAGAGCTCAACAAAGAAAGCTACAAAGTGCAAGTATCTCTGGCATATACACTGGGAGGAAATCTGATTAGCTTAAAGGATTAAGAATAGAGTAATAACTGTTCACTTTTTGTGCTGTGAAGCTCATTATTAAACAAATATAATAGATCTCAATTACTGGTATGATAGCTGGGTTAAGAGAGAAAATGAGAAACAAACACAATTTTATAAAAATAACCATAACATAATACCAAGAAAATAAAACTGTAATGACTTAATATGAACAGACCTACTAAAATAAAGTTTATATGGTTGAAAAATATTCACAGAAGAATTAGTGATGTATTTAATAATTTTCAGAAAACAATAATCTTTAATAACAAGAATATAAAACAATAAGCAAGAAACACAATGATATAAAGATTTGGGTTTATGTTTGGATTAGGAACCATATAACATCTAAACAGAATTATGATATAAACCAACAGGGAAGGGAATGAGGTCTAGGAATGCAGAGAGAGGGAAAGGACAGTAACACATTTGAAAGAGGTGAATATACAACACTTTTAGTGGGGAATAACTAGAGAATCATTCACACTAACAAAAAATTAAGATAATAGTGTCAGCAAATTATGGCAAGACAGAGCAATAAACACCCACAGAGTCCATAGAAAAGACTGGGAGAGAAAAGAGAAAATATTCTCATTAAAGGTATAATAGAATTATTTGCATATACAGATGAAATTAAAGTGTTATTAATAACATATATTCTAGAATGGTCCAGGAAGAAAGGAAGAAGATAGGAAATGACAACAACAACAAAAGATCCTAAACAAATTAGAAAACATGCAAAAGAAGGATGAGAGCATGGTGATAACAGTACAAATATGAAAAGTGAAAACTTTGGGCAAAGAAGACAAGTTCGATACAGCTAGAAGCTAGTAATATAATTCTAATCCTAACCAGATGTTAATTAACCTACTAACCAGATTTTTACATTACCTCTATAAACTTTCAAGTATAAATTAAAGTTATTTTTACCAAGTAAGTTATTCATCATTTCATTCAAAAGAAGGCATCATAAAATGACAAACATCGGAAAGACAAAACTAAAGGTTGGGATAAAATTTGTGAACAGTTACAAACAAATAATGAAAATGTGATTAGATTTGAGTGTATACTAAATTTAAAAAGTTTTTTTCTAGAATTATAAAGTAGAAAACAGTTCTAAACATCAGTCTAACATATGAAGAGCTACAGGGGTCTGCTTCTGCGCCTGCCACAAAATAAAAATCCTCTGTAAAATGATAGGAAAGTGACTATTTAAAAGTCATTACATTTATAAATTCAGTAGGGACTCAACAAACACTCAGCAGAAACTAATCAATTCTAAGAGTCCTAAACAATTCTACACAAATGATAATACATATTTCACCATGTTAAGAAAGGGAAAGGTTTCAAAGCATATGTGAAGCTTTTGAACTATGACCAGGACCAGATGTTAAACAAAAACTACCTGATGTTAGCTAGAATGCAACTATTAATATAAACTTTAATTTTTACAATTTAAATTCCTATTAGTGACTTTTACATTAGAAAGAGAAAATAAAGCAGTATATGCACATATATATATAGGGATGATAGATGATAGTAGATAGATAGATAGATGATAGATAGGTATAACCTTCAAAAAATTAACTATAATGAAAGATCATTGAAGATTTTTAAGCCACCTTTTAAAATATTAATGCTTTAATCAAGTTATAAATTGGCAGTTTGGTGATTTGAGTGAGAGGCCTTCCCATAGGCTTGTCCATTTGAATGTTGATCCATAGGTGGTAGAACTGTTTAGGAAGAATTAGGAGGTGTGGCCTTGTTGGAAAGGATGGAATATAGGGCTGGTTCGAGGTTCCAAAAGCCCATGCCATTGCAGTTAGCTCTCTGCCTGATCTAAGGCTGTTGGGTGCTGCTCTAGCTCCATGCCTGCCTGCCCACTGCCATGCTCTGTAAGGTGCCTTGGTCACGTATCTTAGCACAGCAGCAGAAAAGCAATGAAGAAGGCGGTAAACCAGACATATCCAACAATAGTGCCCTATTGCTGAATAAAAAAAAATATTAATAAATGCAGACAAAAATCTATAGCAAGCATTAGAGCTGTTCCTTCCATAGGAAAGAATAGGAACGACAAGACTAGATGCCTTCAGACTGAGGCAAGCACCTTCTCATCTTCAAGCTGGGCAACCACCCAACTCAATCTTTCTGTGATTGTCTCAGCTTTCCTCACTGTCCACTCACTGTGCCATTCCTACCACTCTTCTTCCTCTCCAACCACTTCAAACTACTCACTCTCTGGGCCCTGTACGCACTCACTTAACTGCACCTGCTGCTCTCTCCTGGGATTCCACAACCAATTCCTTTGCCCTCATCACCTACTTGACAAACTTAATCTCCGCTCACATTTCACCTTCCTAGATGGCCACTTTCATTACAAAACCTACTTTGACAGAGCTAGTGCTCAGTAACAGACACAGTTTGCTATTTACATTAAACTGTGTGGTTTGTTTCACCAATTTTCACTATGCAATGACTGCTTTTATCAGAGTACTGACACTGTGCTTAACACAACAAAATTACTTGAAAATTTTGGTAAATAAATATTTGATGGATATTTATAGTTCCTATGAAGAATTTAAAGAAAGATGGTTAATCCTTATACCTGAATTTCATCTCTCAGGAACCTATGATGAACATCCTTCCTTTCACTAATTTTCATGCCTGCATGGTATGCTCTGCAGGTTAAGTTCAGTTTCTCAAGCTCAGCAGTAACTTGTTCTGTCATTTTTCTGGAAGGACAATAGATGATGGTAGGACCTTCAAACTCCCAGGCAGAACTGTGGAGAGGGCAAGAAGAGAGGAAGGGAGGGAGGGAAAGAACACAAACACATTTATTATATGTATGTTTCATCGAAGCTTGGCTCTCATAATCTTGGCTTTCTACTAAGTGAAAGTCTTAAAGAAGTCAGCAGACCAAAAAAGATAACACTTCAACTCCCTGAAACTCTAAAACACTATAAAGACAAATATGGAAATGAATTACGTGAACTCAAAACTCTAGCATTCAATATTGCTTCCAAATAAAGTTAAAATCAGAAATCAGTCTATTTTAGGAAAAAAATAATTTAAAAACTTATAAGGTATAGATATAAATACTTTTAGAAAGGCAACACAATAGATTAGTCTTTACTTATTAAGTTTCATTGTTTCATGGTTGCATAAAGTATTATACAAGATTTAAAGATAAAATATTACTGCAAGGTTTACAGATATGTCTGCAGATGATAAATCTGAAAAGTTATCTATGGAATACATCAAGTAGCAGCAAGGAGATAGATGTGTTAGGAGAGATTATAGCAATCTGGGATAAAAATTAACCGCCATTAGCAGAATTAATATAAATATGAGCAGAAAGCATTTGCATAAGAGATTGTAAAGCAAGCAATGGCAAAAAAATAGGAAAGTGCAATATCACAAAAGGAGATGGAGGAAGGCACTTTTAGAAATATGTATCTTTAAGAAAGAAGAGGGTCACTTTAAAAAGTAGCCATAGTATTGAGGATAATCTGTATTGAAAAGAAGCAAAGATTAGAGGTGAGGTAGTGATGTGAGTATAAAAGCATCTAGTTTAGAAGAAGCCCTTGACAAGAGAACCTTTCCCTTTACTGTAAAAGAAAAGTATAGTACAATATATTCAAGGAGGCTGCTAGAACAGCAAAACATTATGAGTACATTCATTATATTCCTATTTCATTTTGAATAACAAGCATTGCTCAGTTATTACTCAAATTGTTCCCTAGTATCCATAACAAGAACTAATGCTTTCTTAACCTAGGATCCATCCCTTCCATTGTCATACTTTCTGGAAGAGGAAAATACTAACAATGTTCTGTGTTCTTACCTACCTGCATTTGGTTTGTGTTAGTATTGGTAGGAAAATTATTTTACTTTATTCAGAATACTTCATATCATGAAAATATCAATTTTTCACTCAGCAGGCAGGTCAGAGAATATGGCGTTATAAAAGGTTCTTAACAAACAAGATAAAACATATATAATACCTTTAACAAAACAAGCAATGAACAGTTTCATCAGTAAAATGAAGACATAGGTACTTCCTGGGCAGTTAGAGGATTTAGCAAGCTAACTTGTAGAAAATGTCCAGGACAGTCCTTGGAACATGTACAGACTCCATATAGACTATTAAAAAAAAAAAGTTCCCACAACAGAGCTAAGTCATGCTATTAGTAAAGCACACAGAACTCATAAGAAAGGCACATGTCTTGCTTGTTCATTAACTTGTAAATTATTAAAAGCAAATGCCCTATTCAGATAACAATATAAAATAAAAATAGTATCAGAAGGATTAGCTCCTGTCCACCTTCCCCTCTACACCTTAACATATACTCTTTGAACATCACGGAAGAGTGGACAAATCAACTGTAAAAGCCAATGATCTGATAAAACTGAAGTAAAGCAGTATCTCCTGGATATGACAGGACCACCACACTCATGAACTTACGGTTGCCTGCACAAGACCAAGCCACTCAGACAGAGCTCTAGAATGGTACAAATGGCTCCCTGAGACCCTACCCCGCACTGAGGGACTGCAGACAGCTGATAGCTTCTGGGAGAGGGAAAGAGAGTTTTCTTTAAGAGTGTAGCACCTGATGAGTTGTCCATATGCCTGTGGATGCTCCCTACCCAGAGGTAAACGGACAGCACATATGAGAGTTGGTGTGCTATTTAAACATGAAGGACAGCGTGACTTTGGAAAGCAGTAGAGAGAGAAGATGGATCTGGGAGAAGTTGAGTAAGTTATATGATCAAACTGTAGTACATGAAATTCTAAAAGGAATTAAAGAAAATATTTTTAAATGTGCTTTAATCTAGGCCACTGAATTGATTATATAGTATTACACTTAATTTGAAACAAAGCTACTTAAAATTTGAAACGTTAAACATATAGCAAAAAGAAAGAGAAAAACTAACCTAATTTCCTTAAAAAGAAAATTCATCTATTGTTGTATCTTTACCTTGACTTCTGGACAAGAAATGGTTTTAGATCCTGAATGATATTCCCTGTTTTTCGTCCAACTTCTAAGTACAGATTTGGTCGGTCAAACCCAGTGCAGGTGACCTGAGGGTTTTTCAGGTTTAAGCAGCGTATGATATCTTCCCGGATGGAGGCGCTTGCAGTGGCAGAGAGGGCAATGACTGGGACCTGCGGGAAACAGGACACCAAGGGATTCAGAAGCTCCCTCATTTTCACTCTTCTCACAAACCAACAGTCATACGAACTATGTCTAAGCCTTCCACATGACTGTCTTGGTTTATTTAAATATTGATTTCTTTTTGTCATGTTGAGGGTGGAACCCAGGACCTTGGGCATGCTATGTGAGCGCTCAACCACTGAAGTACTTGCCCTGAGTAAAGAGAAAAAAAGTTTTTTAATCGGAAACACTTAAAGAAATGCTAAACCTCATTAGCCATCAGGGAAATGCAAATCAAAATGACCTTAAGATTTCACCCTACACCCATCAGAATGGCCAAGATGAAAAACTCAAGAGACAACACATGCTGGAGAGGTTGTGGAGAAGGAGGAACCTTTCTCCACTGCTGGTGGGAATGTAAACTTGTACAACCACTCTGGAAAGCAATCTGGTGCTTTCTCAGACAACTAGGAATAGCGCTTCCTCAAGATCTAGCCATACCACTCCTAGGCATATACCCAAAAGAGTCTCAAGTACACAATAAGGACATTTGCTCAACCATGTTTGTAGCAGCTTTTATTTGTAATAGCCAGAAGCTGGAAACAGCCCAGATGCCCCTCAACTGAAGAATGGATGCACAAATTGTGGTATATCTACACAAGGGAATATTACTCAGCAATAAAAAACAAGGAAATCGTGAAATTTGCAGGTAAATGGTGGGATCAGGAAAAGATCATCCTGAGTGAGCTATCCCAGAAGCAGAAAGATGCACACGGTATATACTCACTCATATAGACATATAATATAGGAGAAACCTACTAAAATCTGTACACCTAAAGAAACTAATCAAGAGGGAGGACTCTTGCTAAAATGCCCAATTCCTATCCAGAAAGGCAAAAAGGATAGACATCAGAAGAAGGAGCAAAGAGGTAACAAGTCAGGAGCCTGACAGAGAGGACCTCTGAAAGGCTCTGCCCTGGAGACTATCAATGCAGATGCTGAGACTTATGGGCAACCTTTGGGCAGAGTCCAGGGAATCTTAGGAAAGAAGTGGGAAACAGTAAGATCTGGAGAGGACAGGAACTCCACAAGGAGAGCAACAGAACCAAAAAATCTGAGCACAGGGGTCTTTCCTGAGACTGCTATTCCAACCAAGGACTATGCATGGAGATAACCTAAGACCCCTGCACAGATGTAGCCCATGGCAGTTCAGTATCCAAGTGGGTTCCATTGTAATAGGAACAGGGACTGTCTCTGACATGAACTGATTGGCCTGCTCTTTAATTACCTCCCCCTGAGGGGGAAGCAGCATTACCAGTCTACAGAAGAAGACAATGCAGCCACTCCTGATGAGACCCAATTGACTAGGATCAGAAGAAAGGAAAAGAAGACCTCCCCTATCAGTGGACTTGGGGAGGGGCATGCATGCAGAGGGTGGAGGAAGGGAGGGATTGAGATGGGAGGAGGGAGGGAACCACAGGGGGGATACAAAGTAAATAAAGTGTAATTAATAAAGAAAAAAAATTAATAAAAAAGTTTTTAAAACAGAAAAATTATCTCCTATTTAATAAATCAAACACTGAATCTATAAGGTTTCAATGCAATCTATCTTGTTCCACTAAATTAATACTGCTTATTAGCCATCTACATTTTAGTGGTATAGAAACAGGAATTTTATTATATATATATATTAATAATTTGTAATTCATAGTTCAAAAGCAATGGCAGAGTTATAATGTGATAACCTAGCTACATAGAACAATTTATCTTGTCTTTTGCAAGAAGTTTCTTCAAAATTATATTGGCCTATGGCTTTTCAGCAGTGGAAGCAACTCTCCCAACAGCCTTAACAACCTCTCTTCACTTTTACTGCCTTCTCAGTGCCATACTGTATATGACAAATACGTAGCAAGTGAAACGTTTACTAACTGATTCCTTAAGCAATTGAGTCATAGTCTATTTCCAGTCTAGCACTTCTTGACAGGATGAACAGCAAAATCAGGAGCACAAGAGGTAGCAGGAAAAAACATGAATGAATTTCTTTTAGAAATTCAAAGGTAGGTAAGCAAAATACCTCCCATATAAATGTTGCATGTTTTATCACTATTTTAATGGAGATACATTCAACCAGGTTTTACTATCAGAAAAAAAAAAAGGCTGTCTTAACATTTATTTCTAAATCATTGGCTATCGCTAAGGATACAATTTTATTTTAAAATACTTTATTATCTGTAGTAGATCAAGGAAACAATATTCTAATAAAATGAGTTACTCAAACACACTGTGACTACTTCACAAACTAATTTAAGCATTATCTTATATCTAAGTATAAATGTATATGCAGTTTGCCAATTTGCAAAGAAATATATACACAACTTCTAGACGTCGTGGCACACACTTGAAATTCCAGTTTGTAATCCTGGCACCAGATAGATGGAGATGGGCTGCTCCCTGGGACTCATTGGCCAAGCTACACACATGTACATGTACTCCATACACATGTATCTGCACACAACACACATGAACACATACATACAAAAACATGCCCAGTGCTTCATGTTACTCAAGAGTAGAGAGCAAGCACCTAAAAGGTTTCAGCTGTAACTACTACAGCACAAAACAGTTGAGATTTCTTTCTGTACAATTTCAAAGGCAGAGGCACTGCTAGCTCATTCTCCACTGGCAAGGGCTCAACTTAGGAAGAAGGAAGATGAGCCAGAGAGAACTACATGGTTGCATGAACTTTTAATAAAAATTTCCATTTTTTATAAGGCCCTCAGGCTGGCAGACTGCTAGGAGAAAAGAAAAAATAATGTATTGTAAACTCACTACAACATTCTAAAGACACAGTGGGGAGTGTTGCTCTTACAACTAGAAAGTAGGATCAAGTAACAACACTTAGGAAAGGTGGATGTTCAAAAAGTGGATAGAACAAATCTCTCAGAATGATGTTGGAAATCATTTATGATGATTTATGATTTATGATAAATCCAACATTTATGATGTTGGAAATGTCGCCAAGAATAAAGCTTACAAATAGCACATGGGGCAGTATTGAGAAATCAACCCTATGCCCTCATTTGATGGGCTACTTCCAGGTCATCTCTGTGGCTACAGCACAATTATTAAAAGTCCAAACTGTTTAACTTTGAAAGAAACTGGTCACACACTGAATTATGTTGCCACCTACTTAGAGCAAGTTCTCAGTGTGAGGAATTTGTTGTTTAAGTTGGCTAGCCTTGATTTCCTTGATGAGAGAGAGCAGTTGTTAGCAAAAGAAGCAGCCAAACATAATAAATATAATGTAAATTAATCTTATGGAACTGTACACTTAGGTGAATCTTAATTATATACTCCATGAAACAAAAGTTGAGAGAAAATATAACTATTCTTTTTCCAGATTGGATCATGTGACTACTTCACACTGTATAATGCACACAGATTTTAGATATTTATCCTTTTATTCCAGTTATTCAGTATCTGAATAACTGATCTTTTTAATGGGTCCTTACAACAAAGTAACGGGAAGAGCCAGTATATCTCATGGACTTCAAAAATACCTCTTCCTGATTGGATACAAATGTTAAAGGCTATGCAGAACTTTCCTCTGGCTGCTCCTTCTCTGGGCTCACTTTTACGATTCCCTCCAAATGGGCTCTTTGTGTCAACTGTTTGTTGATTTCTAGCATTTCTAGATTTACTATAATAATTTGGTGTGATGTATCCAGGCTTACAAGAGTAATCCCAGTGTAACTGGATAGAATAAGACCAAGGAACATGAGAAAACTGATATCCAGCAGGTGGCGTTTCTTACTACTGCCTAACAGAGTCAGTTCTTAAAAACTCAGGGGAAAGGATCCTCAGCCACTGCATGAGGAACAACCTGCCAAGACTCTCAGCTGAAGGAATATGGTATTTAATCACTGGAAGAATGGAAAATGATCTCATTATATCCAGAGTTATATATAACAAAGGATTTAATTCCACCTGAAGAGTATTCAAGAACTGCTTGAAATATTTAAAAATCCTTTAACACGATCCTAGAATTGAAAGGCCTGGGAAAGGATTACAAAAGTATTCTTCTCGATTTTCAATTTCGCAGCTCTCTCTCTCTCATTAAACCATTCAAAATTAGTGGAAACCAGTCCTTCCGAGCAGTGCTTGGTGGCTTGCACTGTGGGAACGCCTTCACTCGTCCTCCCGCGAGCACTATTCGCCTTTCTGTATCACCTGCACCATTCTATGCACGCTGTATCATGTGCTTCTACTTTCTTGGATGTGGATCTCAGCTCCCTCACTGGACTATGAACTTTACCTAAGGGGAGAAAATGTGGTTTGCCTCTTTCAAATCATTTGTTTTGAAACCAGCACAGAGTCCTATGGTATAGCTATTTATCATCCAACTCTTATAACTACCTATGCAGGTAATTCCCAGCTTTCTGACCAGAATTCATTCATTCATTCATTCATTCATTCATTCATTCATTCATTCAAGTAATTATTGAGCAGCTGCTATGATTCAGATACCACCCCTGCTTATATACACCAAAAAAAGAAAAACTCCTTCTTGCTACGGTTTAGATACAAACTGTCTTAGCCATGTGTGGAAGGGTGAGTTCCTGGGTAATAGACCCAACCACTAAGAGGTTAATGGATAACGGCAGCTGTAACCTGACCCACTGATGGATTCCATTAATAATCTGATGCCATCATGGGAACATGAAAGTGACATAACATAAAACTCAATGGGATGTGATACCATCGATTTTTTTCACTTTATTTGGTGAAATGGCACCCTACAAGAGGATCTTGTGCAGAAGGCACAAAACTCTCTGGCATATTCATAAGTATCACTTTAAATGCTGTATTGAAGTAGACTGAAGATGGAAACCAAGAGGTCACTGTAATAGCCTATGTGAAAGATATAGGCTAGCACCAGAGATCTGGCAGGGATCAAGAGAGAAGTAGTTAGAGTTTGTATATACTTGGAAGCCCTCACAAGAGTTCCTTATTATTGGAATGTATGATGGAGAACAGTAAAAAGAAAAGTTACCAGGCATAGTGGTACAAATCCAGGCACTGGGGAGACTGAGGCAGGGGGATCTCTAGTCACTGCTGCATAGCTAAACTCTGGTGCTGCTATTCAACAAGATCAGAGAGTCTGGGGGAAAGCAGTTGGAGTGGGAAGAACATCAGAAGTCAGTTGGGATGGGATAAGTTTGAGATAGCTATTGGGAACCTAAATAGAAAAGTCTTAAGTAGGCAGCTATGTGTGTAAACATAGCCTATGACTCTCCTATCATGTGTATGACTTTTATTAAATAAATATTGCTAAAAACCAAATTAGTGACAACACCAAAGATGGAAAGTTCACATAGGAGCGCAATAATATCTTGGTGGAATCAATCCAAGACAGGGATGTAAATTTGAGAGTTCTCCATAGATGGGTGGTAGTTTAGCACAGAGGATAGAGACTAGGTACCAGGCATGCCAACCCCAATAAAACAGGCAGGTACAAAGGAATAGAAGACACTCAAGGAAAAGGAAAGAAAGAAAACAAGAAAAATGTGCTGTCCTTAGACAACTGAAGGAATATGATATTGATGGCTACCTTACTGGATGGTGCTGAGGCACAGCTGAGAAATAGTGCCTGAGACAAGGCCAGACAGTACTTAGACCTCAATCCACACAAGCTGTATTCTCTTTCAGTATGATATTTGCCAGCTGTGACATTGCGTTTTTGCTACTGTTAATGACTTATTTTGTTCACTTAATTACTGCTCAATCAAATCTTCAAGGGAAAACCCAAGCAAAAAGAAGTAATTTTAAACATAGCAATTTGCCATTAATATGTAAGATTAATGATTAATGAAACTGAGCCAGATAATCTTACTAAAAGGTTAACAGCTTTCATTATTTTTCTCTGTTTAACTCCTGTAACTATGAACCTTGAGCACAGGAGGCACCACTGTCTTCCTGTCACTAGGACCTAAACACAGGCCACTTTGTTTATTCAATCAAAATTAATACAGAGGACTAGCGCCCAAGGCAAATGCATTCAAAGGATCTTCAACAAAGGGGCAAAAGTGATTAAATAGAGAAAAGGCAGTCTTTTGATCCAGTGGCAGGGGTAGGGGCTTCCTGTTCCTACCTCCATGGCGTAGCATGAGATTAGGCACATGCTATTGTGCTTTACAGGGGCTTTGTAGACTCAAGCGTATGGCTTCACACTTGCATGGCAAGCTCTTTACCTGCCATGCCATCTCTGCACCCTCTGAGACCTAAATTTAATCATTCACATTTTAAGAAAAGAAAAGAAAAAAAAAAAAAAAAACAAAAAAAAACCCATAGAAGCAAAATGTCAAGAGTAAGGCTGAGAACAAAATCCAAAAAATATATAATTATAATATTCTAAATTTCATCCAAATTCATGTTTTTTTCTTTATAAAAGACAATGTGAAAAAAATAAAAAAGACAATGTGAAAATAATGAAAGATAAAATAAAATTTATAAAAAATATTTACAAGCGAAATATCTAACCAAGAACTGACATATAAATACTTTTTAAAATTCTGATGTGTTGACACAGGGACGAAGGAGATGGCTGAGTCTTTGGCCCTAACATCTATCTCCAGCAACTACATAAAAGCCAGGCCCAGAGTGCACACCTAGGAGCCCAGTGTCCAGGAGGAGAAGGAACCCAGGGGCTGGGTGGCCTGCCAGTCTAGCACTGGAGAGCAACCTGGCTGGTGAGAGACTCTGTTTTAAATCAAATAAGGTACGAGAGTAACAGGTGAAGATGCCAACGCCAACATCTGGCTTCTGCAGGTGCTGCACTGTAGAGTACAACACAGACACACAGACACACACACACACACACACACACACACACACTCCCTTTCCCTCTCCCTTTTCTTCTCCTTCCACACACACCCACTTAACAGAAAAAAAAAACCCAATTAAACAAGGCATGTTACCAAATAAGAACCATACAAAAAGACATTCAACACCACTAGCTATTAGAGAAATGCAAATTGAAACACAAACTACCACTCCTATCTTAGCTGCTAAAATACAACAGTAGTAAGACAAAACAGTGGTAAGAATGAGAAGAAATTATTGTTCCTATACTTCTGGGGACAGGGAGGATACACAATGGTATCGCCAGTCTGAAAAGTAGTTCTGTAGATCCTTCTAAAAATGAAGGAAGTACTTCCCAGAGGGTCCAGCAGCCACAGCCCTGGCATTAATCCCAAAAACTAAAACTTATGTTCACAGGTTATAAAACCATTGCCCTACCAAAGGACCGTGGGAGTATGTAAGTGTTCACAGTATCCTCATTTACAATATCCGAAATCCAGGAAACAACCCAAGTTTTCTATGAACTGTGATGAATAGGATAATGCAGTCCACAGCCCATCTTACAATGGCCCATTAATGAAGGACACATAGTAACTACAATTTTGTGGAATGTTTAAAAAAGGAAAATGAAATAAATGTGTCAAAGCCATACTAAACACCTGCCCTCTCCATCCACATTGGCTTTTTCTGGTTTCAGACTACTGTGATCAAGCCTAGTTTAAATATACTAAATGGAAAGTTATACAAATAAAAAGATTATTTTTCTTTTTTCCCCCAAGACAGGGATTCTTTGTGCAGCCTTGGCTGTCCAAGAACTCACTCTGCAGAACTCACACAGATCCTTCTCCCTCTGTCTCCCCAAGTGCTGGGATGACAGGCGTGCCCTTCCAGTGTTGACACTCCATTCTCACTATGAAGGAATGACCCCTTGCTACTGAGTACCTGCACAATTCATGTTTCTCATCAGTTAGCTTTTTTATACCCATCCTGGTTACCAGCAGTTAAGCTAGGAAGTGCTTGTGGTTGGCTGCCCCTTATTCTACTTAATTATGATCCAAATGGTCAAGAATAATGATTGTGGGCATTTTTATTATAGTATATTGCCATGGCTATTCATTTTAAAACTTCTTCCACTGTGCATAAATTACATCGGGGGTAGCTCCAAGGTACCCACTGGGGTCCTTGCAAATATAGCCCCTGTCACTAAGGAGTAATAATGACATTTTTTATTATTATTTATTATAATTTATTCACTTTGTATCCCAGCTGTAGCCCCCTCCCTCATCTCCTCCTGGTCCCACCCTCCCTCCTTTCCCTCTCCCTATGTCCCTCCTGTAGTCTACTGATATTTACAAAACTTCTTTTCTAACTCTTGTCCCAGGGAAGAATATACAACCTGTGCACTGACATCGAGGAGTGTGATAACGACACAAACTCAAAAATAATTTAATACATTGAGATATCTTGATACTTTTTTAACTTTTTTTTAATTTTTTTATACTTTATTCATTATATATCCCAATTGAAGGCCCCTCCCTCAACTCCTTCCAGTCCCACCCTTTCTCCCTCATTCCCCTCTTTCCCTTCTTCCTATCCCCTTCCCCAAGTCTACTAAAAGGGAAAAATTTCCTCCTCTGCCATCTGCCCATAGCTTATTAAGTCTCATCAGGACTGCCTGGATCCTCTTCCTCTGTGGCCTGACAAGGCCACATTCCCAGGGGCAAGTGATCAAAGAGCAGGCAACTGAGTTCATGAAAGAGACAGCCCCTGCTCCCCTTGCTAGGGAACACACATGGAGACTGAGCTGTCTATGGGCTACATCTGAGCAGGGGGTCTAGGTCCTTTCCATGCATGGTCTTTGGTTGGTATATCAGTCTCTGTGGGAGTCTGACCCCCTTCGGCTCAGACTTTTTTAGCTTTGCTTGCTTTTAATATCACAATTTCATGGTTCTCAAGGGTAAACTTCATGGATGGCAATGGAATAGCTCGATGTCAAAGGTTGCATATTCATGTTAGAGTATTCCTCAATAAGCTATATGCTAACCTCAAAAGGAGGCCAATGTTAGAATCTTAAAAAAAAACATAGGTTCCTATCTGACACCTTCCCTTTTATAAAAAAGCATTTAGCTGTTAGGACATTACTCAGTCCTGGAAGCACTTGATAAAAATGTCACTTCAAGACAGTAAACTTGGGGTTGGGGATTTAGGTTAGTAGGAAAAGGCGTGGAGTCAATTCAAAACTAGGATGGATGGGGTGGGATGGGGACATCAGACTTGGCAAAGCTTACCAAGGGGAGTGCTTTCTTCAGAGAGCCCAGTGTCCTGAATGAACTTCTAAAATCATGGCCCCACTCAGAAATACAGTGAGCCTCGTCCACAGCAATAAGTGTGATACCTACAAAAAGGAGAATATACATGGAAAATATGAGTCAAAAAGCAAAAGATGCTATCTAAGTCAATATTTTTTTTTCTGTTAGAATATATATCTTACAAAAAGTATGAGCCAAATCAAAGTATTTGGCTCAAACTCACACACCCATAAGAAGCATAAATAATACCAGATAACATCAAAGCTCATAAGCAAGAATAGGAGGCAAGAAGAGAAATGAATAAAAGGCATTAGAATAAAGGAAATATTTATATTTAATTCAAACAACATACTATATTTCAGCTTTCATTACTATTCCTCAAAGATATAAATTACTTACTATTACTTTGTCCCCAGATTATCACTTATGAACCATCTGCAACAATGTGCTTTCAAAAGAACTGTTCTATTTCATTTTTTGGCAATAATGTTAATCTTATCTTATAGATTAGCTATCAAAAAAGACAAACAGTCAGCACATTTCTCCTGAGATGAAAAACATCGTTATCCACGATTGAGCACGTATCATATTGCAGGAAGTTCCTCTGAAATGCCAATATGTGAAGACACCATGACATCCATATTGTCTAACATAAAATAGTATGGGAAGAACTCAATCTAATTGTGTGCAAAGTAGGGAGTAAAAAGGAATATAGCTCCGCACTCTGCCCTACAGTGTACACTAAACAAGATCGATAGTGTGGTAATGCATTTTAAAGGGTTTATTGTATAATCATCTATTAAAACAACTTCAAAGAACTGACTTAGTAATGCCCTTACCATTAATTATCAAATTAATACTTTTAAGAGAAAAATAACTTTTGTTTGGGGGCTATATTCTATCAGTGAGATGATTAAAAACACATGCTTTAGAGTCAGATTGGCTACACACAAAGCCTTGAGCAAGTTAAAAGACTTTCCAGTTCTCAGTTTCCCCAAAACTACAATGTGGATCTGCTGAGATGGCTCAGGGGGTTAAAAGCCTAGAAAGCCTGACAGCGTTCAACCCTCAGAAACCACAGAGAGAACTGACTTCCACTGCTCTGTAAACACATTGTGGTAACATGCACACACGCACACACACGCACACACACAGCAGCAGCAGCAGCAGCAGCAGCAGCAGAACTCTATGATACACAGTAGGTAATAAAAGCACCTAGCACGTCTTGGTACTCTGAGGTTAAATTATAGCACACACATAAAATACTCAGATAATCCAGGCACCAAAAAAGAGTTTATTAAAAATATGCTACCATTGTTAAGAGCCAATGTGGTAGCACATGCATGGAATTTCAGGGTAAAGGATTCAAGGCCATTTTCAGCCACAAAGAAAGTTCAAGACTTGCCTGAGCAAGGCAACAGAGACAAGGGTCTCTTTTTAAATAAACAACTAAATTAGCCCTTTTCTAGATAACCAAAATGCACTTGACCTCAAGGATCTCACAGTTCTACAGAAAAGACAAAAGAAACACAGCAATTCACTGAGATTATAAGCTATACTGAGGTCCTCAGAAAATGAGAAGGAAGAAAGCAGAGAAGCAAATATATATTTTATACCACCGAGTGACTGGGAAAATCCCACTGCTACTCATACACTTATTTTGACTGTAAAGAATAAAATAGCTAGATTTTAATTGAAATGAGTTAGAAAAATCTCTGATAAGCATATAATGGAGTTGACCTTTGACCTGCATAGTTAGTTCAAACAAGCATTGGTTAACATTCACTTGAATGAAAAGTTCAAGTGTCTTTCCAGGTCCTGTACATATTTCATTTCGGCACACCTGTCACTCAAGTCTCATTCCCAAAGTTAAAAGACAATTACAAGTGCAGCTGAAAAGGCACCCCCATATAAAAGTATGTTTGCTATTTCTGTTATAGATCCAGACTCCTTAAAAAAATGTAACATTTACCTAAAAATGACAAATCTGATTAGTTAAATGTCAGACTACTTACTGTACAAATAAAAACCTGAGTACATTCATTTTATAGGCGTTTTACACTCTCCTGCAAGCAAAAGCCAAGGGGGGATATTAGTAAAAATAACTTTAATTTAGCTTATCCCTTTTTCTAAGTTACCCAGGGAAAAATATTTTCATCCATTAAAAGCAAAGAATGCTTCTCTAATGAAAATACTTATACATATTTTTTTGGGTTGGTTTGTTTGTTTGCTTGTTTGCTTGCTTCTGTGTTTGTTTTTAAAACAGAAGGGAGCTGACTATCTGATCCTCCTGAATCAGCCTCCTAGAACTGAGATGATATTTCCATACCTAGCAAAAGAAAGGAAGGAAAAAAAAGAAGAGGGGGAGGGGAGGAGAGAGAGAGACACGGGGGAGGGGGAGAAAGAGTGGAAACCACAATAAATAACAATATCTAGAGTGATCAAGCAAGAAGAGGGCTGTAAAACCACCTCCCTTCAAGCCTGGCAACCAAGTTGAATGTCTTGAACCAATATGGCTGAAAGACAGGACCATCTCCCCTTCTCCTGAGAGTTATCCTCAGACTACACACTCACACCAAAACAGAGTAAAAATAAAAATAAATTAAACAATGAATTCAGGCCTGGTGCGTGCTAGGCAAACACTATCACTGAGCTACACCCTTGGCTCTGCAGTATTCACCAGTTACCTGTTATGAAAAGTTAAAAAGTAAAAAGTTACAACTACTTGTCAAAAGCATTTAACATTTATTTATTTACATAATTATTCATTTACAGCATTATTAAACTAAAACATATCTGAAGCAGAATCAAATATACTCAGAATATAGAGTTACAGATTCCAGTGTTTTAGATATAATCATGAAATTGATCTATAACATAGAAAGGTTTAACCCATAGGGACATGCTCAAAAGAACTCCTTACAGCCTAATAGGATACACATCAAATTTGTTTTCCATTGCAGGCAAAAAGCATGCCAATGAGAGCTAAACAGACAACACAGGCACACACTGATAATACACTTCCTTACATGTTAATTTCTGTCCTCATTCTTTGTTGATTTCATCACATACTGCAATATAAAATTTTGCTTTCATTGTATTTGTTAAGAAAACCGTTAAATATATTCCTTATACAAAATGTTAAGTGATACATGTCTTTGTTAGTATTAATATTGCTGTGACGAAATACCATGACCAAAACAACTTGTGGAGGAAAGGGTTTATTTGGCTTACACTTAAACACCACCTTCATCACTGATGGAAGGCAGGACAGGAACTCAAGCAGGGCAGGAACCTGGAGGCAGGAGCTGATGCAGAAGCCATGGAGGAGTGCTGCTTACTGGCTTGCTCCTCATGGCTTGCTCAGCATGCTTTCTCATAGCACCCAGGACCACCAGCCCCGGAACAGCACCATCCACAGTGGGCTGGGCCCTCCCCCCATCAATCACTAATTGATAAAATGCTCTACAGGATTGCCTACAAATAGATCTTACGGAGACATTTATTTTTCATTTGTGGTTCCCTTCTCTTTGATGTCTCTAACTTGTACCAAGTTGACATAAAACTAGCCAGTCCAGTAGAATACTGAAAACTTAACCTATATGAAATTACTTAAGACCTAGTTCTTCAAAAAGTTCCCAAAACTGGGAAGGTAATTTTATCCTACAGGTTGGATAAAATTTAAATTAAGGTTTCAAATATGGATTAGCATTTGTCTCCTTTGTAACTCTCAGCTGAACCTAACAACCACCACCAAAAACAAAAAAATAAAAATAAAACAAAAACCAAAAACATAAAAATGTTTCAATACAGTGTCACAGCATTGACTAATTTTATATTTATATTTTCTAAAAAAAAAATAAGCTGTTTAACAACATTTTTCTAAAGTCTGAAGAGTGATTTTTTTGTTTTGTTTTGTTTTGTTTTCAAGACTGGGTTTCTCTGTATAACCCTGGCTGTCCTGCAGACCAAACTCACAGAGATCTACCTACCTTGCCTCCCGAGTACTGGGATGAAGAATGATTTTCATGAACAAGAACCAAGAACTACGACATAGGTTTAATTTAGACTCAGAATATTAAAGAAGATAAACCTCAGAATCATTGAATGAATTCAGCGTTCATTCAATGGCATACTGAAATAGATGACTATGTACCAAGTCCTGCACTGAGGACAAAAATTAAAAAACCATATTTTTCTGTCAAGAGTGTATAGTGTAGCAGGAGATACTTACATGTCTGCATACAAATATAGAACTAACCCGGAGTCCCACCTTTATGGAATGAGGAACTATCTATATTATGAAATGGGACAAATACCAAATTGGTCAGCGATTTCCCAGAGAAGGAATTGTTTGAAATGAACCTTTAACAAAATTGAAATCTAGTCTCTATTCATGCGTGGATTTACTTTTTATTCACAGAAGTCCTATTTCGTTACTTACCAATATTAGACTCAAGCTCCTGGAGTAGGTCCAAATTACCAGAACAGAATTCTGGAGTTATGTATATGATCCTGTATTTGCCTCTGTAAAGACAAACAAAAACAGGAACAGAAAAGAAAACACTCCACTAAAGAACACAGCCTTTTTCTGTGGCCTAGCAAGGCTGCTCCTCCCTTGGCGAGGGGGGTGGGGAGGGTGTCGAAGAGCTCGCCATTGAGTTCATGTCAGGAATAGTCCCTGTTCCCCTTATTAGAGAACACATTTGGACACTGAGCTACCATGGGCTATATCCGAGCAGGGGTTCTAGGTTATATCCATACAGGGTCCTTGGTTGGAGAAACAGTCTCAGAAAAGACCCCTGTGCCCTGATATATTTGGTCCTTGTGGTGCTCCTGGACTCTCCAGGTCTTACTAATCCCCCTTCTTTATATGATTCCCTGCACTCTGTTGAAGGTTTGGTTATGAGTCTTAATATCTGCTTTGAGACACTGCAGCCAGGCCTGAAGAGACTTGATAAACTAGGGTCAGATGGAAGAAGAGGAGGTCCTCCCCTATTAGTGGACTTGGAAAGGGGCAGGGAGAAGATGAGGGGGGAAGGAGACTGGGAGGGAAGGAGGGAGGGGGCTATGGTTGGGATACAAAGTAAATAACCTTGATTAGTATAAAAAATAAATAAATAAATAAAAAGAGCACAGTCAATGAATAACAACTTAAAATTAAAATGTTTGATAGATTTTTAAGTAACACATCATTTTTATTATGAAAAACCAAAGGAATATTATATACAAATTCAGATTTGTTAGTTCTTTGATTTGTCTTCAACTCATCAAAACAAATATAGCAATTTCTGTCAGGGAATATTTGCCACTAAAGTGGTATTACAAGTCAAATTCTACTTTCTAAAAGTCCATTTTCAAAACAAAATACCCAAGTTAGATAATCAAATCTTTATAAATTTTTTGTATTATCCCATACCAATATACCTCACCTATGAGAACTAAAGCCCATATTTCTTGCTCTCTAATAATTAAGGCCTTAATAATCCAGTTTATTCTATATATTCTGCTGACAAGAATAGACAGTCGAAGGTTGTCTTCTAAAATATGAACACCTGATCAAGATTAACCAGTCATCAAAGGGAGAGTGGAATTGCTATCCTCTATTTGGTGACTCATCTCCTAAATGGGACAGGAGAACACACATAAAAAGAAGACCTTTTGCATTCTCCATGTCCATTTTTTCTCAACGGGAGCCATGTGAACTTCCTTTGTCCTTAAAATAAAATTCATATTTTGCTTAAAGTAATTATGTTAACTTGTTATTACGACAACTTTTATGATGAAGGCTAGAAACTACTTATGGTGTGTCATCACTTTACCATATAAAAACAGATGAAAGCCAGGTGGTGGTGACACACATCTTTAATCTCAGCACTTCACAGGCAGAGGCATGTGGAATTCTACAAATTTAATCCTGATCTACAACGAGTTCCAGGACTACCAGGGCTACACACACAAATCCTGTCTCAAAAACAACAACAGATCAAATTAAACTTATTTTTTCTATATAAGAAGTTGAGTTTTTAACTCATCCATTCAACAAATATTTTGCTATCTATTACATGCTAAACATTATATTTTCACTAGAAATTTATTAGGTATAGAATAAATTTTCCTTTCTCTCCAAGAAACTAATATAGCATTCTAATTACTGTAAGAAACAATAAAAATAATAAAGCCCAGATTTGGACTCAGTTCTCCTTCCTTTATGAAAACTGATCTGAGATGAGCTAGTCATTTCAGTGTATCCTAGTTTCTTTTATCTGTTGTTGGTTGGTTGGTTGGTTGGCTGGTTGGTTGGTTGGTTGGTTGGTTGGTTGGTTGGTTGGTTGGTTGGTT